ATGGTCCGCAGAAATCGCATGACAAATGTGTCCACGGTAGATCATGTATTTAAGTTATTTGCAGAGGTTCATGGTTGGCACTTGGAGTTGATGCAAGACAAGGTACACAACTCTTGCATGTACTCTGCACAAGTTCATTAATCCCTGGAAACCAAACAAAACTAGAATTGCTCCGAGACCTACTGGACTTGCATCGACCACTATCTCTGTCTTTTTAGATGCATCGAAATAGGGCATAGCCTCTGTAATCAGTTTTGCCTCTAGGTCATCGAATGCACATTGCTCTATGTCTGTCCATTTCCATGGCGTATCCTTGTGAGGACGAGCGCGTAACCGTGATGTGATTGTTGTGAAGTCGGGTATAAATCGCGCCACGTAGTTTGCTAATCCAAGGAGACTGCGTACTTCTCCAGGGTTTGTTGGGGCTATTGCTTCCTTGATCGAGCCCACCTTTTTGGGGTCAGGTGACCCTCCATTTGAGTTGAAGACATAGCCGAAGAATTCAATCTCTGACTTACTGAATTCGCATTTCGATTTGTTTAGCGTTATGTTCTTTTCGCAAAGCCTTTGAAATGTCTTGCACAATCGCTCATAATGACTCTTTTGGTCCGTGGCGAATACGATTATGTCATCACTTATGTTGCGAACTCCTTCAAGCCCTTCCAAGCAACCATGTATTATAGCTTGTGGACTATAGTGAAGCGTACTTCATGCAAAAAATATGTCCACATCGAAGAAGAAATATACGGAGAACGAAACCGTATGAATTATCGAGTTTCTGGTTAACAACATCTTCGTTGAGTTTGGTGGTATGATCTTCTAACATACTACTGGCAAAGCTATGGAAACTAATTGTGTCCCTCTGTCTGCTGACTTGTTTTTGTTGTCATATGAAGCTGAACTTATTGAAGAGCTTATCACAACAGGTCATAGAGACTTTGCAAAACCTTCGATTTCACTTTCAGACATATTAATGACGTCTTGTCTCTGAATAAAACAGAATTTATCAGCCACTTCCATCGTATAAACCCACCTGAACTTGAAATCAAGGACAGGACAAACTTTTCTACATCAGCTGCTTATCTCGGTCTTTTCCTACAGCGAAACCAACATGCACAGCTTTCCACCAAGCGTTATGATTTAAATTTTCCATTTGTGAATTTTCCATATTTGGATAGCAACACACATGCATCCACGACCTATAGTGTATTTCTAGGTCGCAGTTGGTTCAATATTCAAGGGCCTGTTCCCATTATCAGGATTTTAGTGCAACTGGCCGACAAACTCACATTCTCAAAAAATGCAGGTTGATGAAAATAATGGGGAAGTTTTACAGTAGTAATGGTGATCACGATTTCTTTGTGCGTGTTTGGTGATCGTTAATTTGCATGTTGGTTTCGTTGATGTATACCTTGTCCTCAGTTGTGAACGTGAAATTATTCACTTGGTTGGCTAAGATTATTTATTACTACCCATTTGTTTTCTGATCCACACATCTTCTCGTTTTTTCCGATAATATACAATGCGTCACAGTTCTTATATCGGATTTTGTGTACGCAATCTTCGACGTACTCTAGGTGTCGTTAGGATGAACTATGACCTTTCGGAGAGTCTTGTGAGGTTTTATTACTGTTGTAATACCGTGACCTCGATTTCTGACAGACCTTTGATGTAGGGGATGATAACCTGTCCTTTCAATTTATTCTTTTCCTTCTTCCCAAATTCATTGTTAACTCCACATGCATTGATGACACTGTAGATGTGATTTTGGCATTGCTTCTTGACTTGTTCTTCTGTGATACTCGTTTCACATCTATTCAGCAAATGTCGTACAATGCCCACTTTCCGGTGTAAGGGATGTTGCGATCGGAAGTTGAGGAAATGGTCCGTGTGTGTCTTTTTCCTGTTGACCTTTACTATAATAGTACCGCCATCTTTATCTACAATGGTGTCGAGGAACTTGGCGACATTGTGTTGTCGATTTCTTCCTCGCTGGTGGATTTACTTCACTCCTCTGGTTTAAAATGTTGTCCTACTTAACAAATACATGCTAAAACTTACCACAATTTATGTTTAATGTTTATTTTTAATTAGTGAATTGGTATTAGTATTTAAAGATTAAATCTAATTTTGTAGTCTGTAACCCCTGGCTCTCGCAACCCCTAACCCTAATGCAGCTTTGTTCCGTTAGCATTGTGACTTTATATTGTTTAACATTTTAACTTCATTTAATAAAAACATCTTTAAGGCAAAAATCTTATATCACCTTCATCAATTAAACTTTTATATACACAAATTCCAAGTGTAACAATACGACCGTTAACATATCAGCTAATGGATTTTATTGTAATTATTTTATTCTGTACATAACCTTGAGCTATTGTAAAGAAATATAACTATCTCAAACAAGCAAATGTTGCAAAAATGAATTTTCTTAAGGTGAATGTGTTTTATCGTTTGTACTCGCTTGCAGTATTATCTTTAAGAAACTACCAACTACAACTGACATAACTCATGCATCTTTTATTTTCTCCCGCAAAACTCTCTTATTACAAAACCAAACCCGGACAAATCCGGAACAAGGTAAAAACTAATACAACTGCTCAAGATATTCGGATCACTATTTAACAAAATAAATTCTATAGTCATATACAGTGCAGTGTATAAATCAAGATACCTGATTGGATGTAAAATCATAATAGTGCAAGTTGATGTAGATCTTCAGTTTGTAACATCTCTATATAAATTTTATTTAATTTTCGTCTCTCTAATCCCGCGCACGTGACATAGGTGTAAATAAAAGCCTGTGCGGTTAATAGATGTTCAGGGCGATACCGTGCGTTGCCTGGTTGTACCGGGCGGTACTGAGTAGTCGAGTGCTGCCGGGTTGTAATTAGTATCACCAAATTATTACCATACAAGGCCTTCGAGTTTGACTTCTGGACGTCTGCTGTCACTTTTGTCCATCCTAAAGAAAATATCGCCGGTCAATATATATGGCAGCGGTATAACAGTGATGTTTTATCCCAGGTCTGTCACACTTTAATCCACTTCCATGCATGATTACAACTCGACAAGTGTTTCGTAACTTATGTAATTCCGTCTGTGGGTGTCAAGCACTAAGTTTGTGAGTAAGATTACTGTTATTAAAACGTTCTCTCTTCAAAAACGACACTTGCGCAGAAACAGTCCTTCTATTTAAAAACCGCTATGTAGGCAAGGTAACCAAGATATTATAAGTAAGTCAATTAAGAATATTTTAAGAAATGAAGTCTTTAAAAGGTTCAGTACACAATTATATATCATACCCCTCCCCCAATAAAACGGCAAAATTCAAGGGAAAGCATCATTACATCATACATGAAATAAGACGTCTACCCCTCAAACGAAGTCGATTTTATATTTAAAAAAATAAAGTCACACAGATTTCAAATCAGAACTTCTGGGCTTACATCAAGCACCAGAATGCTGATTTTTATAGTGTATCTCCTTAAAAAAAAGACGGAAAACTAGTCAATGACTGCCTGAAGTGCTAAACAATTCCAATCTATTTTTTAAAAGCTAACAGCATTGCTGCAGAACAATTCTAGCAGGAATTCAACAAGTCATATAAAGGTTATTCCATCATTAATAACATTCATGTATCACAAGATGGTGTCACAAAATTACTCCAGAATCAGAATCCAACAAAAGCTGCTGGACAGTATGAAACCAAGATTCCTTAAAGAAATGGTGAATGAGATCTTGCCCATATTGACAATATTATTTGATAAGTCAAATGAGTATGGTACTGTACCATCTGACTAGAAAGTGGCAAATGGGTTTCCCATATATAAAAAGGCTTGAAGTAAAACCCTGAAAATTATCAGCAAATATCTCTCACATGCATCTGTAGCAAGTTCCTTGAGCACATCATTTTTGTGATATAATGTCGCATGAAACACAATATTATTTCCCATTACAACATGGCTTCCGTCAGTCTAGATCCTCAGACACACAACTTACTGAACTTTTAGGTCACCCGAGACAAAGTCTCAAAACTAATCTCCTAACTTCTGCTAAATGACACCCCTTTCCCCATCTTTGCTCCCTCCTGTATATTGCACATACCATTTATATTGACACAATCTTCAGTATGTTGAAGGAGGTCGATTAATATTGATGTTGATCTAAACTGAATAATTTTGTTAAAAAGAGTCACTTGCACGAAATTTATAAATGAATTAATTTTTCATAAGAAGCTTAAGGTGTCTGTCTATGAGGTGTCCTGCTAGTTTCTGGTAGGAAAACAATACTGAATAAACAATTAGTACCTAATATCTGTTACAGCAGTGTCACTGGAAACATTAAGTCTGTGGAAAGTTATTGTAATATAAAACATGACTTATACACTAAATCATTCATATTTATGTATGATTTACGATACAAGCATATGATTTTCATTTCACATAAGACAGTACCTGAGTTGTATGATGATGATGTTACAGCGTTAATTTTGATATGCGGCAATTTATTTCCTTTAGAGTAAAAAGCGGAAATGGCAAGAAAATCTGGCAGAAATCAATTTCTAAAGAATAATGTTTTAAAAAATTTTGTGAACCTGCTAACATTTTTTTTCTCATAAAATGAAATACCAAATTATCTTACTACCTCCAAAAGTTAAGGATTGTCCTCGATGAAAACCTTTCCTTTTCTCAAATGGAACTTGTAATTTATGTAGGAATAAGATTGTGACTTTGACAAAAATAAAGTGTGTATCATTCCAACAAAAAGGAAATATTTTGTATCAAATTAGCACTACGATTGATGTCTCTAGCTTATCCCAATCCACATGAAAAATCCATAAAGAAAATGTTTCTTGTAACCATAACACATTTTCAGTATATTTTTGTCAAAAGATTTGATCAAACTTGACACTAAGGTAAAAAAATGTCATGAAAATTGGTTTGTTTCAAAGTTAACATTGCCACTTTTAGAAGTATTTTAATCTTTTATTTCAGCTGATGTCTACAACTACCAGGTCACCAAGCTTCCTCTTTGATTTTAGAATGAGTTTCAAATGAAGAAGTTTCCATGCCGACGACATTTGTGAAGACCAATTTATATCTGAATAGTCATTATGTATGTGGTTTGGACTTCATGTCGAGTTTTCCCTTTGTGGAAAAGTATCCTCAGTAAGTCAGAGTTAGGATCACATCAGGAATGGAAAAAATTCTCCACAATTATATCAACAAAGAGTTGGAATGATAATTTTTCAAGCCATGATACTTCACCACCATCAACTGATTTGTGCTTAATGCAAGGGAAGAAAGTTTGTAGAATTCCTATACTAGGATACGCCTTACCTCACAAAATTAATTCTGGGACATGTAATTCTATAGGTAATACTATCACACAGTATCGTTGCTTCTCTGATAATTCCAAAGTCGTGACTCCACAGGATGTTTTCTCAGATGAAAATAAAAGCAGAGTTCTAGGAAAACTTTTATCAATGAAACCAGTGAAAAGAGTTGTGCCTTATTATGAAAACCGAAAAGCTGCAGCTGTCCTGATACCGCTTTGTTATGTCAACAACGAACCATCCCTACTGTTCATGGTCAGGTCTTGGAAAGTTCCTGTACACAAGGGTGAAGTATGGTGAGTATTACATTTCATTAATATAGATATGAAAGCAAAATAATTATGATGGACACTGTCTGTCCAGATATTAGGAATTATTTACAGTAGGGCCGAGATGGCACAGTGTGAAGTGTGTTGGCCTTACTATACATAACCACAGTAAAGAACAGAGGTATGTGGTTCAACTCTCCTTATCTGTGGCAGTTTATATTTATGTCACTATGGCATAGCTCACCTGGCCCTTTCAACCAGATGAGCCATCTTGAATGTTGCCATTTACAAATTATTATCACTATATCATATGAGTTCTGGATGGATTGGTCTCATTTAATCTATGAAAGGAAGGTTTCCTTTGTCAATATTTTTTGCAAAGAATGTAAGACTGATTAAAAGAGGGTAAAAGAAGATCCAGCTTACTAAGAACTCAAAAAGATCGTGGATTGGTGGGTGTCGATATCCCTGTGGGACCAAAGTATCTCCTTCTCTGTTTAGAAAGATGGTAGTAAAAGGTGACCCTCTCTTGAACTAAACAAAAGTATGAAATAGTTTCAATACAGTTCTTAATTTGATCTTTTTTGATGACACAATGTAGCATAACTACATTAGCATCTTCAACACACCATTTTTTGCCTTTTAAATACACATATAAATGAACATATCCAAAGGTGCAAAAGTTGTTGGTGTTGATGTTAACACCACCATCTTGGCTAAAATAGATATACCTCTCCTAAACTCTTAGGTTTGTTCTAATATTTTTGAGAATATTTCCAAATTCTACAGTCTGACACACAATGGTGCTATTTGTTGGATTGCCTGTGTTAAAAGTCTGCCCTCGGGCCATCACTAGGACGGTAGTCCCAGATTTCTGTAGGAATGGCTGTGTTTAAAAGTTTGACCCCAAGCCATCACTAGGACGGTAGTCCCAGATTTCTGTAGGAATGGCTGTGTTTAAAGTTTGACCCCAAGCCATCACTAGGACGGTAGTTCCAGATTTCTGTAGGATTGGCTGTGTTAAAAGTTTGACCTTGGGCCATCACTAGGATGGTAGTCCCAGATTTCTGTAGGAATGGCTGTGTTTAAAGTTTGACTCCAGGCCATCACTAGGACGGTAGTTCCAGATTTCTTTAGGAATGGCTGTGTTAAAAGTCTGACCTTGGGCCATCACTAGGATGGTAGTCCCAGATTTCTTTAGGAATGGCTGTGTTAAAAGTCTGACCTTGGGCCATCACTAGGACGGTAGTTCCAGATTTCTGTAGGATTGGCTGTGTTAAAAGTTTGACCTTGGGCCATCACTAGGATGGTAGTCCCAGATTTCTGTAGGAATGGCTGTGTTTAAAAGTTTGACCCCAAGCCATCACTAGGACGGTAGTCCCAGATTTCTGTAGGAATGGCTGTGTTTAAAGTTTGACCCCAAGCCATCACTAGGACGGTAGTTCCAGATTTCTGTAGGATTGGCTGTGTTAAAAGTTTGACTTTGGGCCATCACTAGGATGGTAGTCCCAGATTTCTGTAGGAATGGCTGTGTTTAAAGTTTGACTCCAGGCCATCACTAGGACGGTAGTTCCAGATTTCTTTAGGAATGGCTGTGTTAAAAGTCTGACCTTGGGCCATCACTAGGATGGTAGTCCCAGATTTCTTTAGGAATGGCTGTGTTAAAAGTCTGACCTTGGGCCATCACTAGGACGGTAGTTCCAGATTTCTGTAGGATTGGCTGTGTTAAAAGTTTGACCTTGGGCCATCACTAGGATGGTAGTCCCAGATTTCTGTAGGAATGGCTGTGTTTAAAGTTTGATCCCAAGCCATCACTAGGATGGTAGTCCCAGATTTCTGTAGGAATGGCTGTGTTAAAAGTCTGCCCTTGGGCCATCACTAGGATGGTAGTCCCAGATTTCTGTAGGAATGGCAGTGTTAAAAGTTTGCCTCTGGGCCGTTACTAGGATGGTAGACCCAAATTTCTGTAGGAATGGCGGTGTTAAAAGTCTGACCTCAGACCATCACTTGGATGGTAGTCCCAGATTTCTGTAGGAATGGCTGTGTTAAAAGTCTGCCCTTGGGCCATCACCAGGATGGTAGTCCCAGATTTCTGTAGGAATGGCGGTGTTAAAAGTCAGCCCTTGGGCCATCACTAGGATGGTAGTCCCAGATTTCTGTAGGAATGGCAGTGTTTAAAGTTTGACCCCAAGCCATCACTAGGACGGTAGTTCCAGATTTCTGTAGGAATGGCTGTGTTAAAAGTCTGACCTTGGGCCATCACTAGGATGGTAGTCCCAGATTTCTGTAGGAATGGCGGTGTTAAAAGTCAGACCTTGGGCCATCACTAGGACGGTAGCCCCAGATTTCTGTAGGAATGGCTGTGTTAAAAGTCTGCCCTCGGGCCATCACTAGGACGGTAGTCCCAGATTTCTGTAGGATTGGCTGTGTTTAAAGTTTGACCCCAAGCCATCACTAGGACGGTAGTTCCAGATTTCTGTAGGAATGGCTGTGTTAAAAGTCTGACCCCAAGCCATCACTAGGATGGTAGTCCCAGATTTCTGTAGGAATGGCGGTGTTAAAAGTCAGACCTTGGGCCATCACTAGGACGGTAGTCCCAGATTTCTGTAGGAATGGCTGTGTTAAAAGTCTGACCTTGGGCCATCACTAGGATGGTAGTCCCAGATTTCTGTAGGAATGGCGGTGTTAAAAGTCAGACCTTGGGCCATCACTAGGATGGTAGTCCCAGATTTCTGTAGGAATGGCCGTGTTAAAACTCTGACTTCGGCCATCACTAGGATGGTTATTCCAGTGTTGCTGCAATAGATCCTCATGTCAGGAGGTATATATAGTATGAAGTGATTTGTTGATTTTTACTTTTTTTTTGTTTGTTTTTGATGTTTCTCAGTACACATAGATCATAAATCATAACATTTTTTCCTGGTCGAGCAAGACACTTTACCAAGTTGTCTGGTTAGCATGCTGCATGCCTCCCACATGTTGTTCAGTTAGCTAGCCACCAGCTACTGCAAGGAAACCATGCCTCAAAATGACCAAGTGGGTGTTGGTGGTTCAATAAACAAAATAGAAATAATGGTTATAATAAAATCATTCACTCACAGCTTTCCAGTACACAACATTCAAGTTTCTATTTTCTATCTGATATTTTTCAACATTATGTGGTTAGTTTTCCAGGTGGAATGAAAGATGATGTTGACCTTGACCTTTCCCAAACTGCCTTGAGAGAAACATTCGAGGAGATTGGTCTTTCAACTGAGAACGTAAACATTTGGGGAAATTTGCCGAAGATTCCTAGTAAGGTGAGAGTCAGCTACATGGGCATTTTTATGTAATTTATAACTTGTTAGTGGTGTAAATTATGTAAATGTAAGAGTAATTTGATTGCTGCCTTGTTGAATTCCAATTTCATATACTACTGGTACTATATATTTTTATACAACTGTAGTTTATTTTTACATAAATTTTATAGCAGCTTGTTTCAGAATGAATTGGGATAATTAAGTACATCTGTCACATTTTGAAAAAGGTCTGGAAAAAATTCTTTTTTTAACATTTGTATAATACTCTTATTTGGCTTGATTAAACATATTTAAAGCTGTAAAACTGGACAAAAATATTGGTATGGGTGAGGTTGTTCTTTCCCTAGAATAAGAAATTATGTAACTGAGGACAGTCTTTTATTTCATATCCAGATGTATCAGTTTGAAACAATGTGGGATAGAGGGAATTCAGTAGGATTAATTACACGGCTTTGTTTCAGAAGGATGGGAAAATTGAAGTTACTCCATATTTGGGATTCTGTGGTGATATGGATACATCTAAGCTGGTGTTGGATGATTCAGAGGTAACAAGCCTGGCTGGTCATAAGGCATTCTATGTTTTGTCTATATAATAATATCAATGTTTGACACAGAATAAACAGTAATAACACAAAGAAAATCTGAAGAATAAATGCTGATTTTGATAGTACCTACATATGTAGCTCTCTCTATCAGTTCGATCTTTTGTCTAGGCTACATATGTAGCTCTCTCTATCAGTTTGATCTTTTGTCTAGGCTACATATGTAGCTCTCTCTATCAGTTTGATCTTTTGTCTAGGCTACATATGTAGCTCTCTCTATCAGTTTGATCTTTTGTCTAGGCTACATATGTAGCTCTCTCTATCAGTTTGATCTTTTGTCTAGGCTACATATGTAGCTCTCTCTATCAGTTTGATCTTTTGTCTAGTAGCTCTCTCTATCAGTTTGATCTTTTGTCTAGGCTACATATGTCTAGGCTACATATGTAGCTCTCTCTATCAGTTCGATCTTTTGTCTAGGCTACATATGTAGCTCTCTCTATCAGTTTGATCTTTTGTCTAGGCTACATATGTAGCTCTCTCTATCAGTTTGATCTTTTGTCTAGGCTACATATGTAGCTCTCTCTATCAGTTTGATCTTTTGTCTAGGCTACATATGTAGCTCTCTCTATCAGTTTGATCTTTTGTCTAGGCTACATATGTAGCTCTCTCTATCAGTTTGATCTTTTGTCTAGGCTACATATGTAGCTCTCTCTATCAGTTTGATCTTTTGTCTAGGCTACTCTCTCTCTATCAGTTTGATCTTTTGTCTAGGCTACATATGTAGCTCTGTCTATCAGTTTGATCTTTTGTCTAGGCTACATATGTAGCTCTGTCTATCAGTTTGATCTTTTGTCTAGGCTACATATGTAGCTCTCTCTATCAGTTTGATCTTTTGTCTAGGCTACATATGTAGCTCTCTCTATCAGTTTGATCTTTTGTCTAGGCTACATATGTAGCTCTCTCTATCAGTTTGATCTTTTGTCTAGGTACTACATATGTAGCTCTCTCTATCAGTTTGATCTTTTGTACATATGTAGCTCTGTCTATCAGTTTGATCTTTTGTCTACTATATGCAGCTCTCTATCAGTTTGATCTTTTGTCTAGGCTACATATGTAGCTCTATCAGTTCGATCTTTTGTCTAGGCTACATATGTAGCTCTCTCTGTCTGATGATAGTTTTATCTTGACTCTAAATATGCTAATTGTGGGATGTTTTCTTTTCTTCAGGTGGACACTGTGTTTACTAGGACTCTCACTTCTCTCTGTGATCCCGTCAATGTTGGTTCTACTCAGTTTAGTAATGGGTACACCCTGCCTGTATTTCTGGGCGGGGAGTTCAGGATCTGGGGAATGACTGCTATCCTGTTACATCAAGCTCTGACCATCCTTGCTCCAGGAATGTACAATTATAAGCTACGACATGTACGACCATTACATACCAAACCTTCTTGATGACGGTTTCATTTTAACTGTAATCCATTCATGATTTGTACAATGTTTTAATTTGAAAGTAATTATATACAGACTAATGATGAGTTGTGGAGGGTTAATGTGACTGCTGTTGATTATATTATGAAAGACATGACAAATTCTGACATTAATTATTGACTATTAATTAAGTATTTATAAAAGTAAATGATGGGTGTCAATTTGACAGGAACCATCTTCAAATCAGGTACAAAACTTGTTAATGAACATATCACTTGTTGAAAACAATCTCGTTGATTTTCAAATAAATTTGAAAACATTATTGCTGTGTTTGTTGTAAAAAGAACATGTGTAATTTGCATTGTTTTAAAGTTACTATATATTTTATTACCTTCAGTTCACAGAAATAACATTTTAGATTATTTCTCCTCGCTCGGATGTCAAAGTCACTGCATGTTTACAAAGTCCTATCAAAATCTAGGTGAAGAAAATAGGAACACTTTACAGTAGCACTTGCCAAAAATGGCAAAGAAAAATATTTTTACGACATGACAAAAATTGTTCTTATGAAATTCTTTGACAGAATTATAATGACAATAGCTGATTTTGATAAAAAAAAAGAGTTTTTTTTTTTTAATTTGTATCAACTCAATTAGAATGATTACTGTTTTTTCCTCCAATTTCCACACAGGCTTCACTGGTCAGCAAGGTCAGATTGAACTTGTAATACAGGATAGTAGATCTAGAATTATCACACATCCAAGTCATCATCAGGATCTTCCTCATCAAAGTCATCTGCCTCGTCTGGCTGGTAGAATATCTTCCCCTCACCGACTGACTTATTTAATGTTGCTTCTATCCTGTTAAAATAGGATGAAGTATGACGGAATTAGAGATGAGGACTGGTGTTTTTTGGCAAATCACAGAATCATAAAAGAAATTACACACTAAAATACAGAGTAGACTTGTCTCTATTTCATCTTTTCCTTTAATGATGTAATTTTGTAAGATCTTATTGTAAGATATACACTCTTAGGTGCCTTACAGGTTTATAACTGTCAGTTCAGTAATAGATAAATGTGACAACTGATTTTTGTATTCAAACACAAATTTAAAACTGAAGCTCACAACCTTTTGAAAACAATCATTTTTTTTTGTGAAATGAGTGCAAACTTTTGAGGGTTGGATCAATTTGCAACTGGAAACATTGTGCTTTGACACAAATATCAGACATCAAAATCTCAACAATTACACCTTTGTTGTACTATTATTGTAACAAGGTACAGCTCTGAACTTGCATTATTGTCAGGACCAATTTTAGATTTATTATAAACAATGACCTTGATCTTTTCACTCAAAAAACAATTTCAAGCATGACATGTGAAGACTGAGTTTAGTCAAGTTTTTTTTTGGTAATTGGTGATCCTGATCAATTTTCTATTTATAGTAAGTGAACTTGATTTTGGACATTTTTACTCCAAAGTGAGCACTCCTGAAGGGAAGGCAGCATGTGAAATTGGACTTTGATAGGTCGAAGCAAATTCAAGTTATTGTCCAGAAATTGTCAATTTCATGGTTATATGACTATATGCTTTTTTTTGACACTTTATTCTGTGGATAAATCTGGCACACAAAATCCATTACTAATAAAATCCATGTCAAGTCGTGATCTGTTTATAATTTTCTGGAATCCCAGGAAAATTAAAACTTAGAAATTAATGATTTTACTGTACTAAAGAAAGAGAACATAACAGATGTGAAATCTGCAAGTAAATGTGTAATAACCATAGAGTAGACAAGGAAATTCACATTTCTGATAACATTAATTGATTTGTATGGTGGTTTTGATTTGTATGGTATGTGGTTTTGATTTGTATGGTATGTGGTTTTGATTTGTATGGTTGTTTTGATTTGTATGGTTTGTGGTTTTGATTTGTATGGTATGTGGTTTTGATTTGTATTGTGTGTGGTTTTGATTTGTAAGGTTGTTTTGATTTGTATGGTATGTGGTTTTGATTTGTATGGTATGTGGTTTTGATTTGTATGGTATGTGGTTTTGATTTGTATGGTATGTGGTTTTGATTTGTATGGTTTGTGGTTTTGTCTTCTTGAGTTCAATCTGCAATAAGCCAAAGGGGCAAATATATTATCTCTAACTAATTAAATTCTTGAAGTGGGCATATAACAGATCATAGCATTTATTCGATAGTATTTCTGCTGAACAACAAATAGAAGTTATTTCAAGGCAAAGGGATTATTGCTGGATAAACAGTGATATGCTTATAGCTATACAAGAAATCTGTTTTATTTGAAAGCACCTTCCAGAATATCAGACAAAATCAATATTAGAATGCTATTTTTCTGGAGTGTTTTCATAAATTTATCCCCTTTGTCATTAAATAGCGTTATAGAATTGAATGTCCTGAGGTTGGCTATATATTGTATATATTACATATATTGCCTCACCTGTCCTGGTCATAAGTATATGGAAGTTTCACCTGGCTTCGTGCTTTCTTCTCCTGATCAGTCAATGACAGGTTAAAGGTCAAATTAGCAGCAGGATCTACCTACAAGAAAACATTTTCAAAGAATTTTTTTAAAACCAAATCATAACATGAACAGGTATTTTTTAACTTCTGTGGGAGGCAATTTTGATTACTAATTTTATATTTGTTATCTTATATCTTTCAACAAATGATTTCTTAAGGTTTTTTTGTGTGGGCGTTTTTTTCTTTTTTTTTTTTTTATTTCAAATTTTTTCAAAAGTTTTTTTCTTTCTGTACATATGAAATGAAAAGAAGCAAATGCTGTGCAATTAACTAACAATTAAGGTTTTTTGATCTTACACAAAGGAACAAGTAACAGTTTATTATGTCAGTTGGATGTCAGCTTCTGGTTTAGAAACAAGAACAAGCTACGGTGGTGAAATCAAAACTTATGACTCTGACAACAAAGAAGCCGAAAGAATAGTTTTTTCTCACAAAAATTTATACGAAATGTTTTCAGCTTGACAAATATACCTTAAACCTAATACAGTATCTAATTAATAATGCATATATATACACTTTTATCTACACTGTCAAGAGTTATCCATCATATCTAGCTAAGTCTTACTTTTATATATGTACATATCAAAACTTATCCATTCTTAGGCCACCCCAGATATGAACTAACCAATCAGAAAGAAGAACCGTCAATGATTATGCTTACCATGTGTTATAAATATATCTCTTTGCTGATCAACTTATTCTGAGGCCTCTGATAATGTGTTTAAGTTAAATACTGAAAAATCTGAGAACAGTAATCAATCAATCATTACCCTGATCTAGTAATATCATTTACATATGCATGAGTATTTATGAAATTTATTGAACATCGTCACATCAAAATTAACATTTCTAAATATTTATTAATAACTGATTAACTTCATAGAAACCAAAGTATGTTAACACATCTTAAGTCATGAAAACCCAACAAAACCAGGTATAAAGTACAAGCAGATAAAAAATTCTTTAAATGAGAGTGCATCTAGTACCTGTCCGGTAGGTTGTTGTGGTGTTTCATCGATAAGAGACTTCAACTCCGTGATGTTTTCAATCTCAAATTGGTCACTAATGTTGAAATGCTCTTTCTAAAAAATAAAACCAAAATTCAGTTACAACAGTTGAATTTTCTAAATCATCTGACAGAGAATGCACTCAGTTAATAGTATACAATCCTGTCTATAATGGTCAGTCAATGGAGCAGAGAAAAGTGCCCATCTTAGACAGGTGACCTTTATGTAGAGGATCAATTACCATAACATTCATTACATTGGGGCTCGTTACCAACGGCTATTATAGACAGGTGTCTGTTATAAACAGGGTATACATGTGCTCCTATAAAGAGCTTAGTTTGGTTATAAGGCACACAGAAAAGAATCATCACATGACTTTGTTTTCTTGTTTAAACACATCTTGAATATAAAACACAAGGGCCGTCAGAGATGGATTATGCTCCCCTGATGGGACAAAAGTATGAAATATAACAAAAGGCAACAAGAGAGTTATGATTCTTGTGCACTGCTCTTCTTCTTGTTGACATCTATCTACCTTATGAAGTTTAGTGTAATGCTCAGGACAAAATTTAAGTTTGAGAAATAACAAAGGGCAATAACTCCAAAAATAATGCAAAAGAGTGCCATAGTTCTTGTGCACTGCACTTCTCTTTGTTGAGATCTATCTTCTTATGAAATTTTGTGTTGATGACTCTTAAAAGTTTTTGTGTTATGCTCCAGACAAAATTATAACGGACAGACGTACAGACAAGGCGGCAACTATAACTCTCCATTCAGGGCCTTAAAATTCAATGATCTCATAAGGACCCACCTATACTTAATTATTTTTTTGAAGAACCAATATCAATGAACTCACTTAGCAAAATTTTCTTACAATTCGGATGATTTTTCCGGAGATCTTTTTATGAAGAGTAGTACAGCAGAATTCATGTCCTGCAGATTGTGAAGGTGACGTTCTAATTACTGTTGATGCTGTGTGCTCCACCAGACTGAGGCTGTTACTTTCATGCAGATCATGATGTACCAATGCAACAACATGTTCAATGGAAGCTCCTGTTAAAGACAAATTAAAACTAGATCATTTACCACACTCTCCAGCAGGATTTCATAAGATGTATCTTCCTTTTATTTTTGCTACTTGTATATATACACCTAGGAACATTTCTAATCAGAACACCGTTAATTTAATATGATCAAACAGTATTTATATAAACAACAAGAGTACCTCGGAACTGTATGTGTCACGGTCACCCAGAAATTGAACTGGATGTGCAACGATCAACCATAAAGTTGTAATACCAAATTTCATTTCTATAACTTGAAGCATAACCAAAGAAAGTCAATATTCCCAGAGAATTTTCTAAGTTCAAAGGGGCATAACTCAGCCAAGAAGGGTCACAGACACCCAGTTATCAAACTTAATCTGTACCCTTGCAACAACGACGACGCTGACGACGATGCGTGATGATGGACAAAGTGATCCCTAAGTGTCCGCCAGCTCTGCAGGTGACACAAAAACTCCGCTTTGTTACCTATATCTATCCAGCAATACACCAATACCTGGTCATACCACCCAAACCTGCTGCTGTTCAACAAAATCACCAACACAAATGATGTTATGGTTCTGTGGTAAGTCCACTTTCTGACCGAGCCAGAGGTAAGGTGATGAGATTAGCAGTGATAAATCTGGGGGGGACCAAGCGACCAAAGGCAGTGGTACACCTGGTGGGAACAAATAGGGCCAAGGGTGCCATGGGGGCTAAAGGGACTAAGGGGACCAAGGGAACTAAGAGGACCAAAGGGACTAAGAGCTTCATTTAACTGAAAATAAACCATCTATTTTTCCATTCAAATTTACATAGGATGGCACACTTTCATTTTTGACAATAGCTCTCAGCTCCCAGGGTTTTCCCTCGGACCTCTGGCTTAAAGCATGGCAAATACATGTAGTACAATGTGACTGACTGATAGAAGCATACCTATTCTATTACCGTCCGACAGCTTATGAAGAGTCTGACAAGTATATGGCACTGGTCGGAAGAGAAGTAGAGAACTCAAAGAGTCAATCACTACAGCAACCTTCCTGTCCTTGTGTAGCTTTCCCTTGGCCATGATGACTTTGGTGAAGTCTGAATCCAGGCAGTGTTCTGATTCTTTCATTTTGAGAAAGGCATGTTGGTAATTATGATGAATTATTCTGAAAATGAAAGTCTAGCTATAAACACTTATGTAAGGCAAAGAACGAACATAATTGATTTACAAACTACAATCCTCTTATGTGGCATGTGAATGTCCCTGGATTGATCAACAATCTGTCAACCTAATTTTTCTCTGGCTTCTACACTATACATTAGACATTTTGATGGACAGGTGCCTGGTGTCAAGTTTCTAGCCTCTGGAGTAGTGGGATAGGAAACCCTGGTCTTTAGAACTAGTTGTCGTTATACTTTCTGAGTCTGTAATATTGTACACCTAAATAATGTACCAGTAATGTGACAATGGAACACAGACAAAAAATGGAAAATAAAACAATGGGTCCAGGTGATACTGAAAAGGATTCTTGATGGCTGAGTGTTTGGTTTTTGCAATATGAGACAAAAACAAATGGTACACAAGATTCTACTTAAGTACATTTTAGAAAAGAATACTGAGCAGGTCAGTCAGGGAAATCATTTTGTATTTTAAGTGTTTTTTAAATAATGATATATATAGAAGAAATCTTGATGACTCCTTTGTTGAAAACTGTCAAAAAAGATTTAGGTTAGGCTGGAAAACACATGTTCTTCTTTAAAGGCTTAAGGTTCCCCAATCCCCTTGAGGGGTTCGTCTTTTTCACTTTTAAGGAAGAAATTGTGTAATAGTGATATCTTGCATATCAAATCAACAAAGGAAACCAAAGTATTTTCAATATTTTTTTCATTAATAGAAACTCTTATCCCCATCAGGGTGAGATGGAGGATCCCAACCTGAGGGGGAAGATTATCAAGTTATCAAACTTGAGGCTTGTAAATGTTTGACAGATTAACATACTTTCATTTACATACTTAATTATAAGCATAACAGAGAGTAACCTTCAATAATGGAGACATTGCTCGTGTTATGTTGTTATGAATTTTATTTTCATTGTTTTTTTTTCTTTTGCAATTTAATTTTTCATGGAGGTCATGACATGACTGTTCTCTCCTCTATTGGTTTTAATTTCACCAGGATTAATTTTTCAGTTTTACTCCATCCATTGATATTATGGAAAATCGAATCCTTGAAAATGACAACTTTTACAGGTTTAAAGAAAATTTGTCCTGAACTGGTTATCAATTAACACATATATAGCCTTTTGTACAAGTTGTGCTCACTAACTTACTTAGTCTTTGCCTCAGCTGGCACCACCTCTAGCATTGACTGTGACTTTGGATCTAATGTGATCACGTGAATTTCATCCACCCTGAAAAACAAATATTATCACTATATGAAATGCCAGCTTATTTATTTCATAAATATGAGAAAAATGCAATCCACTAAATGTATTACCCAGGTAATCTCTCTTGTTGTCTCGCATGGTGTTTGGTATTAATTTGAAAGAAAATTGAAGTACTGTAAATTCAATCATTTTTGTGGAGTATTTATTTTGGAGTATTAGACTTCATGAGCTATATTTATCCACAGAATCAAGTAACTACAATCTGTGTTTTTTTGTTGTTGTTTTTTTTTTTTTTTTTTGAAAACCACAATAACTGAACCCCTCATAAATATAAGATTTTACATCATGAAGAAATCCAAGATGTTTGGGTAGGTGACCTCCTAACCTTTTTATATCCTGCTTTGGAATCAAATCTTAAGTTTGGTTAAGACTTAGCTGTGATATACACTACAACATCCATTGAACAGCCTGGATTTTTCATAATTCATTTCAGTTTCATCCAACCATAATTAAAGAATAATGACATTATTTTTTTTCATATTTATCTAAAATTTGTTCAAATTAAGTTCATACTAGGTACTTACACAACCATGAAAAGTATTTGATGATACAGCTATTAAAGAATTTATCTACTTCCTGTTCAGAATTCATCAATCAAGACACGATGTATTTGAATTAAAATGCATGTACTAAAAAAAAGTTCTAACATGATTCAAGGCCTGATGCCATTTACCACATCAGTCAATTACCAGAACATTTTTTTCAAATATTTCTCACTAAACTATCGGTAGGTAGAAATACATATATGTAAAATTCAAGATGTTTGAATCATAAAGCATATATATATGTGTGGACAATGGTGATATAAATATGGCAACTAAGACTGAACCACCAGAGGCAGACACTTGTATATGCATATATAAATATAAATTTTATTTATTTCACAACAATTGCAAAACAAGATATCAGCAACTATTATTCACTCTTGTTGGCCCCGATGAGTGCTTTACCACTACCCCATCCACCATCCTTTACCCTGTTATAAAGAAGTAAATAGGTCTACTGTTATGTTCAATATTGGTACCTTTGACAAAGACTGAGAAGGAAGCATGACACCAGCCCTCTTCCTGGCTCTTCAATGGAATCTGCAATAGATCACAACAAATGACGTAAACTGTGTAACAGTAGATTATCGTTGGTTTTCTTATCTATTTATTTGGTTTCTGAAGCTTGACGCCAACTAGTCGACATAATTAGTATAAAAAATCTTTAAAAATATTTTGACTCCTGATACTCCTACAGATTTTGTATGCATGGTTCTGACTATCTAAACATGATTATATTTTTTTTTATTGTGCACATACTGTCAGAGAACAAGATAAAACATAAATATCTGATAATAAGAACCATTCCATATTTTTATGTGAGAGGGGGAGAGAGAGAGAGATAAAGACCATAGATTTTGAATGAAGCAAATGTGAAGACAAGTACCAAGTACTTAACAGATCTAGAGATAAATTAGGACAAGTACCTGAAGATGATTTCAAAATTTCATGTAATGGTCAAAACATTGTTTCGCAATCTTTAGTAAAATACCTCGGTGTTACGATGGATAAATTTCTATTTGGAGAGGAAATTGTCTCCAACATTATCCAAAAAATCAACCAAAGACTTAAATTTTTGAACAGAAATAGTAAATGTCTATCTCTAAAATCTCGTAAAACTTTATGTTCTGCTCTGATTCAGTGCCACTTTGATTATGCGTGCACCTCCTGGTATGAAGGAATTACTAAGAAACTCAAAGGTGTACTCCAGACTACCCAAAACAAAATGGTCCGCTTTATTCTTAACCTTGATAACAGAACAAGGATCACTGTCACTGAATTAGAAAAACTAAGCATGCTTAATGTAGAACGAAGGGTCCGTCAACTTCGCCTCAACCATACTTTTAACATCTATAATGGTAAATGTCCACAATATTTATATGAACTTTTCTCTCTAAACAAAAACTGTTTTGGTACTAGATCTGGAACGATGAACTTCTCAATAAAAAACGTTAAAAGCATAGAAAGTTCTTCCTTTTCTACTTCGGCCACAAAAGATTGGAATTCCCTTCCAGAAAATATTAAAAATTCTAAAAATAAATATCATTTTAAAAACAAAGTAAAACAATTTCTGATGCTTCAATCAAAAGGCGAATTTGACAACACCTTCTACTATTGAGCTCAACCTCCACTTCTTTGCGTCTGGTTGAACGGGTAGTGATGTTATATTATTGTTCATATTATGTTATATTATTGTTCATATTATATTATTATGTAATATCTCTTCAAATCCCATCCTTTTTCATAAATGCCCTGAAATGTGCCAAAACATTTTATTCATTTTCAGTATTTGTTTTCATATCTTCTATGTAAATGTAATTTTCTTTCAAATGTAGTGCTCTGTTTCATTTATAGTTAATGCTGCAAAAATTAATTCAATCTCATTTTCCATGGCTTTACATCTCAACCGGAATGATTACACCTTAAATGGACCCATTGGAAATAAGCCTATTTTATAGGCTTTAATGGTAATCGAAGGCCAAAGGCATTTTCATCTGGTTTTATCTAATTTCTCTCTTTTTTATTGATATTTCTAAAATTTTCAACTATTTTATTTAGAAGATTTTCAAGCACAGTGTAATTTAATTTCTGCGATACTAGTTTAAACTGTGATATTTTAAGGTATGTGAAATTCTTCTGTGATATCTTATATTTCATAATTAATAATTTTAAGAAATCCACAATAATTTATTACTGATTTTAATTGTTATTGAATTGCTTATGTAATGTGATATTTGTAATTTTATTATGCCTTTGCCTGAATAAACATAATAATAATAATTTAATGACAGGCAAGAGCTCCTTCACAACTGAATAAAAACAAGTGATTTACAGTGTAGTATGTAGGAGCATATGTGATCACTATGTTCTGATCTTCCTATCTGTATCTATGTTATCAACAGGTAAAAGGATAGCCTGATTTGCAGATGCTCCAGTACCTGATCAATGACACAATAAATAGGAGCATTGATCCAAGTCTCTGCTGTGCTATCAGCCTGACCAACAAATGGACAGTGACGAATAGTACGAGAGGTAAGAGAATAAATATATAATATGAAACACGGACCCTCGATCAGAGTAAGGGTGGATTTTTCTCTCCCTTTTACCAAATCTCCAATCATCTTTTCACCAGGTTAGATTTCCCGTTATAGAAGCTGACATATTGCTACCCCGCACAAAATGCAAAATTCAGTCAAGTAAGCGTTTGTAACTAATAAGGTAAAAGTGTGTGACTGATAGACGCATTGTAAAAATTAAACCGAAGCCGGTAGAAAACACGGAAATATCCGGCTGCGTGGTCAACCGCAATCCCTATTCTGTGCATTTTGAACTTAAGGAGGGAATATTGTGACAAAAAGTCAAAAAGTATTAGCATACTGTCAATGTTCCATTCGTTAACACATGATTTCACATTGGAAAAAATATCGCATATATGGTATTGGCATTAAATAGTTTAAATTGCAAATACAACATTAAACATACACTGCAACTTTATATCTTAGTACAGATAACACATATTTGAATTTTTGAGAAAGTCATCGCTTCTTTAAATTGTTGGAGTCAGAATAGCCATTTTCAAATAAATAATAATTGTCTTTCCAGTATAAATACTAGCGTGATGGTATCAATCAAAGCGTGGACTTTTAATCTGATCGTTACACTATATTTTATGTATAGAAATCCGGGGTCGCGACGATTTACCAAAATACACCCAAATATATCCAAATACACCCCAATACACCCAAATTAAGCCAAATTTTACCAAAATCTACCCAAATCTTACCCAAATATACTAAAATAAAGCCAAATCGATTAACAGGAACGTGCCGTAACGGGCTCTGTATTATCATGGACGTATATCTGTTATATACGTTCCTGGTATTATATTTTATCACTAATAAACGATATACACATGATGAAATAGATTATCTTTGTCTAATTTTAGCTTTCATTTACAAAGGCAATTCCTATAAATTCCGTAATACCATATAGGCTAACGGACAAAAAACGGAAGCGGGAACGAATTTGGGTAAGATTTTGGTATATTTGGGTACGATTTGGCTTTATTTGGGTAAACCGTCGCGCCGAAATCTGGGATCTGATCGGTTGTTACCGTCCCGTCATCTTAATACCGTCCAGCTCATGTACTCGACAGTGTCCAACCCTGGTTGTCATTTTGTGTTATGATTTTGTTTCTCATATATGAAATAGCGTACATCCCGAATCCCGTTAATTTTAACGGATAATTAAAAAAAATGAAGAAATTTGATCTGCGAAATTTTACTCATTAGCTCCCGAGTTTTACAATCGTCACCATTTTTGTATGTGCTAATCTACGTCCCTGATAGTATTAACGGATTTCTTCTACGCAAGATAGGTCCCATTTCTAATTTCCGGAAATTTTAAACATGTTGTTGGTTCAGATATTACGTTTGTAGTTGTAACTATTTATTTAGATTTTTATAAACCTGTCAACAAACGCTACAAAGAATATCAGAATAATATGTTTCTTTTTGTGATAATGTAATTTGCAAATATAAAAATAAAATACAACTCATTTAATTTCAACCAATGAAAAATTTGCAGCCTAAAGAAATCTATGACGCAAAGATGTAAACAATATGGCGGATTCTTGTCGACCCGTTAGTCGTCATGGAAGATATCATGCTCCAGGCCGCAATATCAATACAAGTAGTCGATACACAGATGATATTCCGAGCTATTCTACCATCGATTATGTTGATCAAGAAGGTGAAATGGGTTGCTTGGTCGTATTTGTTTTGATAAAGCCAAATGTCATTATAGGTCAGATGGCTTCAAAACATGTCTGTATCGGTCATCAGTTGGTCAATTTGCAGCATATATCACGGTCAAGCAGATACCTTCCATATCCAGTTCATTTCATTTTGCCCCAATGACATTCAGTAATGTCGATGACTAACTGACACGATTCTCAATGTACTATGTTTTACTTATACATAATCTGATAATGGCACCGAGGAGTGGTGATACCACATTTTACCTCCGAAGTAAGCGGGTTAGTGCAGCCAACATTGGGAAGAATGGCACACATGCGTATTTGCAAAATGGAAAGCTTGCCATGTCGAAGTATCAACATTGGTACATGACTTAGATTACTGTAGTGTCAGTGGGAAGGTTAACACCTGGATAAACTATTTCCCAAGTCAAAACTCTGTTGTCTTAACGGATGGAATGTCTTTGTAGTTTCTGGGATCCCGAGGGGCTGGTCCTCAGAATTAGTGTGTTTTCGTTCCATAAATAGCATTCCTGGTGAACTTTCATCATCTATTTGTTTATTCACAGACAACACAATGGTGTATTTGATAGTGACAAGTGAATGTACTGTTTTTGGCCCTCAATTAGCAGAAATAAAACCTTTGTCATTACGCTTTTCACAACCATATCTTGCAATATTTTGAAAAAGTATTTAGGAGCCACAACAAGGCCTGAAATGGAGTCCCACTGTAAAATAAGATTACAGGGAAACCTGTTAACTCCATTGGCTTCCCAAGAAAAAAAAAATGAAAGTAAATTTAAGGACCAAGAAAAAGTGCAATGAACATTAACAATGTTCGTAACAATTCTTGTGTGCTTCATATTTATCACCTCCATCAGTTTTGATGACTTTAATGGCATAATAAAAGACTTGCTGTCACATTCTTCAAGCAAGACATAAGAAACATAATACAGTTTCAGTCCAACAAAACAACTTAATTAAAATGGGAGAGACAATATATTCTCACCCCCCATCTTTCCATATCTACTGTTTATTTTTGCTTGGAAAAAGTTGCCTTTTACTGCAAACTGTAAAATAGTTGACTTTTTTAAAGCTTCTTTCTATGTTCAAAAATATAATTTCACTATATCTATCTGTTTCCAGTCATGTCCTTATGCAGAACTTTAACATAATCTTAAAACTGATTAAGAAGTTCAGTAGTTAGTAGAAGAAGACTATTTTTGTAGAAAAATTTCAAACAAACAACAAGAAAAAACAGAACAAAACCAACAAGTTAAAACAAAATACCATAGATATATAATACATGTGTTACATTTTTTTGTAATTGGTATACAAAACCAACTGGAAACTAGAAAATATTAATTATGTTTGATCACCCCATACATGCAGGCATCCTCTGGAAACACAGTTTTAGCATGTTTTAAAATTTAACACAGTTTTAGCATGTTTTAAAATTACCAAGGCATCTAACATTGTTGTTCTTGTTGTTTGGTTCAGATGTGTATCAGCTGAAGCAGCAAGCTGTTGCGATGGATATAGACTCCATGGAGAGGCCAAAAACAAGCAGTGGAAGAAGAAATCGTCCCAAGTCTAGGATGGGCCGAACTATGGTGGCGGAAACAAGCTTTGAACCTCCAGACAACGAAGACACTGGACGACCAGCGTCACGCAGGGGCTATACACCAGAAACGTATAAAAGGTAGAAATGAAAACAATGATTTTCAGTTGAGCAATCAGTGGTTTCAGAACAAGATAGAATTTTCCCCTTCCAATCCAACCATAGCTGTTATAATCACAGTTATAATCTTGACAATGTCACATCACATAAAATGTTGATACTTTTCGAATTGTTTTATTAAAAGAGTGTCTTCCAGGATTTATATTTTATTTTTGGTTAAAGGAATGCATTCAGTATATGTATATGATTAGAGATTATGTAATATTCTTATGAAACTAATCCATACATCCAACTGATACCATGTATACAGTAGGCATGGGTATACTTCCTTGCTTTCATATTTATTTTTAGAATTTAGATCTTCCTGGATTTCTCACTGTTGTTTGTTGTAGTTTTGTAAACCTCTTACTGAGGGAGTGTTCACTAAATCTTCATTTAAATGTACAATTTATATGATCTTAGGTCAGAAAAGAAAATGTTAAAACAAAAAATGTCCTGTTTTGGAACTGTGTAATATCACTGAACAGCAATACAAACAGGAGTCTTATAACTGAACAGATATAAATTATAAATAGGTCTGAAATAAATTGGCTGACTTGTTAACTATTTTCATGTATTGATTAGATCTGTTGGACCAGGATATTTGTTTATGAAATAAGGTCAGACGTACTGATCTTATTCTGCTTTCTGATAAGTCTTCTGAGGCCTGTATAAATATTTTCAGGTCTTTCCTGATTTATACCTGGAATGTTACTTTAAAGTGCCAACAGACTGGTTTGTCTGTATAAATGAACAGGCCCTAGCTGCTCGTGCCCATCACAATTAATTACTATATAATTTGAGGTACTGTATCTATCCTCCTATAAGTCCATGTGGCTAACACATTTACTTTGCTTACACAGGACAATGAAGTAGGATTTGTTCAACTGAATATTTCTAGATATGGATGTGCAGATAAGCAGACTAGGCTTATTGATAAATATATACAATGATCTGTATTATAATTTCTGGTACTTTCAGACATGATTATGATGAATACTCCCGCCAAACACTGACTCTCGACAGTCAGATCAGTTCTGATGACAGCAGTGATTTGAGTCCCACGATGTCACCAGCTGGTCGTCAGGGATCTCCAGTCCAAATGCAACCAAGCCCTACAGGTCAACATAGATCACATAACAGTCCATTTGGAGAAAGGATGCGTATGTCACCAGCCAATAGACAGCAGAAATTATCTGGCTATCAAAGTCCTGTCTTGACTCCTAGTCCACAGCAACGCCCCTCATCTGCAAATAGATATCACACCTCTCCATCGGAAAATTTCAACAGAAATTCACCAATGGATAAATTTGATCGATCTTCAGGTGATAATTCTTATTTACAACAAAGACATAAAATTTCAAGTTCAAAGCGTCCTTCTTTTTCTCGAAATTCAAATCGGCAGGAACAGCCTCACTATGGAAATGAAGGTTATGTGGAGGATCGCTCTCCTTACTCTCACGAAAGGCCACCCTCACCATCTGCAAATCATCCCTCATCTAGACACGATTATGATGGATATTATATTAACCAAGACACAGGTTATGATGGAAATCAGGGAAGTGAATCATATGAGAGATATGAACAGCCAGAACAGGAAAACATATACCAACAAGAGAACAAAAAACAACGCTACTCCGCACGAACAAAATCGGGGAAAAAACGTAGACCACCTGGAAGTGCAAGAAAGAAACAGAACATACTCAACACTGAACCAGAATCTGTAATTGGTGAGTCCCAATCATAGCTTGTTTTAAACACTGAAATGTTGATTTACAAATGAAGAGCCACAAAATGCTCTCTGTATAACCAATGTCAGCTGTTAATCCAATCGTTTGATAAAATTTGAATCTTTAATGTACCTTTTATTTTCCAAATTCATTGTTATATATTGTCAGTCTAGTTATTTGTTGTACTGATAACTACATGTTCGTATTTAAACATTTCTACAAAATTATTCCTGATAACTCTTGGTCCTGAAATTGCTGCCACTGACCACAAACCTAAACAAGAGAAATTTTCACATCTAATGATAGAGTGCAATATTGACCAAAAACTGTTATAATAATAGATTTTGAATGGATATGTTGAATCTAGATACTAAGTCTACTTTCAAGCGAAACCTTATTGACAGGGTTTGGTAGAAGTGGAGAATGAGTGCTTAGTTTTGGATGTTCCGATTAGATTATTTAAAAAAAATTTCCTTTGCCAGGCTATGAGCTGATTGTGTGAGATAATTTCCTTTGCCAGGCTATGAGCTGATTGTGTGAGATAATTTCCTTTGCCAGGCTATGAGCTGATTGTGTGAGATAATTTCCTTTGCCAGGCTATGAGCTGATTGTGTGAGATAATTTCATTTGCCAGGCTATGAGCTGATTGTGTTAGATAATTTCATTTGCCAGGCTATGAGCTGATTGTGTGAGATAATTTCATTTGATGCAGAATTTTTCATTTCTCAACGGTATAATTAGAAGTTTGATCATGGGTTGAAAATCGAAGTGTTGTGGTGGATACCTGATCGTCAGAAGGGCACTTATTGAGTGTCATGGAATTTTGAAGTTATTAAGTTCTGTGAAGGCTAATTATGTACACAACAATACAAACATTTTAATTGGCATTCAGGATAATGTTTTGGTCTATAAATGATACAGATGATTTATAACAGCTGAGTACATTTGTGTTTTAAAATGCAGAAAACTTGCCAACTCCTGCCACCATGAGACCTACTTCTTCTCTGACACGTTACAAACTTCTACCAGCGATTGGTACACCACAGGCCCCTCGTCGTGATGAAATATCACTGGACGCACTTTCTTTCAAAACAGAGAGACTAGAGTTAAGTAATGATGACAACCATTTACTGGGAGGAGAACCACCAACTGGGAGTTGTACAACTGAACATCCTCACTCTCGACCACTTTACAGGTCTGAAAGTGACTATTCCGAGGAACGTAAGTCGAAAGATGTATCAGTTTCATCAGACGAACCGGATGGTAGATTATTACAAGATTATCAGGGATCTGAGGAAGTTAGTAGTAACCATGGTTACCAGGTTCCAACGGAGAGCTCCAATTTCTTACCTCATAAATTACCTGCAGAGCCATCAGTGGGAGACACACGAATTCTTCTGGCTGTGCGTTTGCTTGATGGATCTCGTAAACAACGGTATTTCAGAGTCACGGACAAGCTTGATGTGGTCTTACAGTTCGCTGAGAACTGTGTAAACTGTGATTTGTCATTGTATGACTTGGTTAGAAATATGCCCCGAGTTGTGTACACTGACTTAAGTGTGCTGGTAGGAGAGGCAGAGTTAGAAGACAGAACAGTGTTATACCTCGAAGAGAAAGATTCCTAGTATGTCTGTGACTCCATAACACAAATCTGTGTCTGTGATGTTAGGGTGCTTTGTAGTCATGTAAACATTGTACTTAGTCATTGTGTAGGATGCCTATTAATCGCCTTTAAAGAAAAAAAGGCTTACTCATATACATATACAGGGGTGCTTAATGCCGTTCATATTAGTTGATAGTGCAACATACCATGTACAAAGGTAGCACATTGTTATGTATAGCAAACTCACCAACTGTGATCTCATTACCTAATAGTGAAGGAAGAAGTAGGAAGGCTAACATGTGGTAAAGAATTGCTGCAATAGTGATACTACCTGTGGGCCGAAATGTTATTTTACATGAAAAGATGCTTAAAATTACAAATATTTTTATAGTACATTAGGGATGAAACGATTCATTGCTATACAGTTTTTGCCTTTCGATTCAATTTTAGAATTTTCTTTGTTGTTTCAATATAATACATCATTCAGTAGTTACTCAAAATAGAAATGCTAAAGATACATTCTGATTGTCATGTCATGAATGGTTTTATGTTTTTTCTTAAATTCTCTTTAACAAAGAAGAAAGGATGTAATCTTCTGGTTTTTTTTTTAAATCTTTCATATTGATAATAATTCAAATTCACTTCACACTGGGATCTGGTTCAGATGAGTCATTGTTATTTTTTTAGTAATACTTTGTAAAGAAGCATTAAAACAAAAACATGAAAATAAACAACAAGAGTATTGTATTGAATCGAAGCATATCATGATGCACATTGTATGGGATATCAGTTTATTCTTACAGGCTATAGTATATCAGATTCAATCAGTTATTAGTTAAATTGGGTGGAAATAACTTGTTAAGTTTATTTTAGTAAGAACATAGATCTGTCATGCCATTGAATTAGATAGTGACTATTCTTTTTATCAAAACCCAAAGATTTTTATTGTGTCAAAAAGAATTTTTATAGTCTGTGATATTTCAATTGACCTAATAGTAATTTTACATTAAAATAGTTATATTAGTATGTTTACAACAATAACTTTTCTGTAGGGAAACCTGTTAATGTATTTGTTTGTTTTGTTCATTTGTTTTTACGTACATGTTTTAATGTTTTGTTATATTTTAATCTTTATAATGTATTACATGAATTTTTTTTCTGGAGTTTTCACACAATCATCCAAAGGTAATATGTACACCCATCATTGCGTTACAACGTTGATCTTATCTTTGACACCAGCAAGAGGTTATGTCATAATTACATTACTTTTCAGAAGTTGAATATGAGAATCTTAATTCTGTTTCATATGAATTTGATAAATTAAATGAAAAATGTTTGTGATAAGTTTAATAAATTACTGATAAAATTTAATTATTGTAAGATTCTGTTTATCATGAACTTATCATAACATAATGTATTATGCCATGAAGTTATGATGCCGCAACTGAAACAGAGGGAACCTTTCGTCACTCACAGCTCTGCGTTGTGTTCTTACACATTTGCATGTGATCATATCAAAATCCATGTGTAAGGAGTGTTATTGCACTGATAACAGGGTAGCTAGATATGATAAGTGGTACTCCTGTTTGATCTTAAAATATATACACCTGGGTTAAGCTTCCTGTTAAATTCTGTTGTGTACAGTTTTAATAAGACAAATTTTCTGTTATTGTTTTTATACATTCATTAGTCAGTTGTTATGACCTTTTGTCCTTTTAACAGATGAGAAAAGATCTGCATATAAGTAGAAAGGTAAAAGCTTTAAGTGAAAGTAGATAATGGGAGAAGATAATGCCTTCAATGTTTTGAAATTTGAACTGAAATTGAGACCAGACATGGCAGGAACTTCAATAGTGTATATTTTCTTCAACAACCCTTGCATTTCATTCTTAATGTTTATCACAAAATCAATTCTACATTATACAATGTGAATACTTGCTGTTATAAATATGCTTCATTAAGTAGTTATGTCCACATGTCGCAAAACTAACAACGGATGCCATTTTTTATAATTTATTTTATTTTTATAGAAATATAAGATGGAAAATATCTGAGATGTTAATCACTATGGTATTCTTTAGCCCTATGATTTCTCTGTATAGACATATAACTGTTCAGTTTCTATCAGAATCGTTTTAATTGTGACAGGTGTATGCTTTCTTCTTCCTTTTAGTTTGTGCTTTCCAATTTTAATGGTTAATGTTTTTGTACATTGTATGTGCCATAATGTCGATAGAAAATACATCATTTTGTATAGGTACTAGTCTATTTTTATTTTCTGAATCTGGATGAGTGTTATTTGTGTGAAGGTCTGGATCTTCTGTTGTTCCATCTGCTTTCCTATCCCTGAAATATAATGCATTCTGCGAGACATGTATTGCAATTAAGTCATATGGAACAGTTTAAAGCACCTGTCATCATTATTTTTCATGTTCTTTTTTATTCACTTATCAATCTTTTTATTTTATTCACTTTTTTTGGGGGGGGGGGAGGGGGGGAGGCTATTGTTGCTTTTTAATCAGTTTCTGTTTTGAAGATTTTACATTATGGTAGGTTTCCTATCTATTACACTTTCCAAAAAAATATTTTAAAATAAATTAATAATTTTTCTCTTTTTGTTTTTTTTTTAGGGGAAGGAAGGGGGAGGGAGGGAAGAGGGTTAGGGGATGCCATGTGACTTCAAATGGTAATTTAAATCTGTGGCCTCTATATTGTTATGATGAATTGACATTTACAAGGCCAGTCATATTGATCAGACCATTGTTAACCTGTTGATATTATACATATCTTGCCAAAATTCCTTCCTTGATCAATTTTATTGTTTGTTTAAACAATTACCATATTTATCTAGCAATACTCCCATGGTGACTAATGAGCCCATCCACATCTATGCAGTTTCAGTAGATATGCCAACCAGTAAGCCTAGCCCCTACTTCGGAGTTGGGAGTAATGTGTTGGCTCCCTGTCAATCTGTAATAAGCCCACCCCCTACTTGTAGTTAGAGATAAAGTGCTGGCACGTGAGGTCCTGTAATAAGCCCCCCCACTTACTTGTAGTTAGAGATAAAGTGCTGGTACCTGATATATAATAAACCCTTCCCCTACATGTAGTTAGAGATAAAGTGCTGGTACCTGATATCCTGTAACAAGCCCACCCCTATTTGAGTCGGAGGTGATATGGTGGCCCCTTGAGTTTATTGTGTGATAAATAAAGTAACAAACCAAACAGCTTCATATTCTCTACATGATTGATGTGTTGTTGTTGTTGTTGTTTACATGGATGTGTTGTCATATCATTACAAATACTATCTCTCCTGACATTTGTTCTTTTTTGAGATACATATTGACACCATATAATGGCCATTGTGTCAGAATTTGATAATTTTTCTCAAGGTAATCATGGCAATTCAAAAAACCTTTAACTGTGGGTATTGTTCATCGTGTTGATATATTGTTTTATAAAAATCCTGCCATGACTGACCATGTCATTTCTTAAATGATTTTGTAATATATTTAGATTACTTTCATCACTTGTACCTAAATCATTTTCTTATAGTGTCTTCACATGAAATTCTTGTGTATACAAGGAGTTAGAAAACTTTTATTATAAAAATTATTGTGTATCTTCCATATGCATTTTTCTATTAAACATTTAGTATAGCTGACTGTCCAGGAAACCGATGGATATCTGTCTAACAATTTGTTTCAAGAAGATTTTTCATTATTTATGATATTAAATTGTATATTGTAACTTCAAGATTATGTAATGGCACAAAGTTTATGATAATAAACAGGGCTTTTTTTTCTCTCGGCAGTTCTGGTGTAACGTTAGATACAAATTAAGTTATCTCGATTGTTAGTTAGATTTTTTATCATACTATATCATACCAGATCATTACTGTTTGATCTACATAATTATTATATATTGTGTTAGTGAGTGTAGATACCAAAGAGATGGCCTTCCATTGCTAGTCAGTTGGTCAGAATAAAACATAAACTTCATTTATCTGGCAATAATTCAGTGTCTTTTAAAGCCCATCTATTTTTGTTTGGTAGATAATTTCTTTTGTGGAAAAAATGGGTGGGGGGGGGGGGGAGAGAGATTAAAAAAAAATAATAATAATAACAAAAGATTTTTTTTTATCAAAAAAATTTCATACTCTTAAAATTGAAAAAAAATCTATCACTAAACAGATTCCATTGCCCTATAATTTATTCTCTCAAAATGATGTAAATGTTCTGAGCCCTGTGTATAATGCAGAAGAAACATGGTATTGATAATTATTGATGATTTAGATAAGAATAATATTTATAGAGTAATTGTCCGCAGATTGTCATTTGTAGAGAAAACGCATAACATCTTTATATAGACATATGTAACATTTTAGACATAAAACAAATATAGGAAGTAGAGACATTCTTAGACAGTTTGATTCTCTCAAAATAAAGTTTGCAGAAGATCAAACAACGATGTAAACATCATTTCGTTTAAAGCATTATTAAACTTTGATTTTGTGAACATTATCAGTGTACATGATATCATATTTGAAAATGTTTTGATTTCTTTCTACAAAGAATTTTTTTTATTTCTAAAAAGAATTACCTGGTATCTCAAGAAAATATTTCAAACCATGCAAGAACGTGCGAGAAATAAATCGTGAATTATGAAAACATATTGATCTTCAATGAAAGATGATTTTATAATATTCTTAATAATTACAGTGTTCTGTCACTTTATCAAACAGTGCGGGATGAGTGATTTGATCACTGGAATGTTTTATCTAGAAATACAGTGAAAAGTTTTCAATATTCTCAGGGGCTTAAGAAATAAAACATGACACATGCTTTATGCTTGAGATATGGTACTGTTATTACTGTTATAGAATGTATCAGTTCAAAGACATTTTCCAAATGAGACAGAATCAAGTGTCTTCAAAGAAAATTTGTAGACTTTTCAAAAAATGATTATTTAATCATTTGATATATGGAATTTTCAGTCGTAGAAACATATTGAGTGCTTTTGATTTTTATCAATGGTCTGTGGTATGATGTCTAAGGACCAGCAGAACTGATAATACATCATCTTTTCACTACTTTTTTGTGATGATTGAGACTTATTAATGAGTCAATGTTTTAACTAAGTAAACAAAAATATTGTTATGGTCATATCATTTAGTTGTAATGCACACAGGCACAGAAGATTCTGTTGCACACGAGATCTCACCATTTACCAGCACAACTACATGTATTTATGTACTATATGAAATATTGAGTACAAGTGCTACTCAAAATCTGTTATTTTTGTTGTCAAAACCTGTGCTAAATACAGACATAATTTTACATTGTATATATGAACATCACTGCAAATAATATAGCCATCTCTCTCTATATATTCTGAATAAAAGTGTCTAATAATTTTAGTCTGTCATGCTTACTATAATACATGTATTTAATTCATTTGATAGAGTGAATTTCATGGGGGTTTTGTATATATTTTTAACTTTATTCTTTGGAGCCCAAAGTAAGCTCCAAGCCAATCACAGTCTTTCTGTTGGTTATTACTTTAAAGGCTTTTGAATAGCTGAACAGGATTTATTGAAATTTGATTTTTCTGAAATTTTGCAAAATTTAAGTGGAACTATTATAGATATCAAGAGGCCAATTATCCCTGAAGTTCCCACAGGATGGAGAAGAAAGTGATTATCATGTTTCACTTTTTAGCTCACCTGGCCCTAAAGGCCAAGTGATCTTGTGACATGGCTCAGTGTCCATCGGCCGCCTGGAGTCAACTTTTCCATTTGAACAACTTTTCAATCATCAAGATTCCAAAAGTAGTTATGTTTGGCTGACAGGTTACTTAAGTAAGGTTCAAAAAAAAAGAAATAACCTTGACCTATATTTAAGGTCACAGGGGTCATATCATGCTTCTGGGCCATTTAGTTGGTTAGAAAAAGAGGTTAAAAGGTTTTAACAAATTGAATATGGATACCTGCGTATTGAAAAGAAGTTGTTCAAATGCGAAAGTTGCATTGGACAGACAGGCAACGCACAGATGAACCAGGTGACGAATAAGTTCACTGAAATTTGGAAACCCTACAAAAATTGCAATCTTTACAGCGTTAGTTACATAGATCAACAAGAGATCGGAGAGGGATCTTGGCACCTACCATTGTTTGATCTTAATTTGCTCTTTGAAAGTTGGATCTTTTCCCTTCTTTCCTGTGTTTTTGCTCTGAATGATAAAACATTTGAACATTCCTTTGTAGAAATAGCAATGATAATTTTTAACTGCCAAATCTCAAATGGCGGTCTGGAAGCCATTTTGTTTCATCTGATCAGTCCCAAAATCAAACGGCACAAGGAGAGACCAAAGGGAACATATGTACAAAATTTTTAGAAATATCCATTCCTTACCTCATAAGAAAAAAGGATAACAATCTTTCCTTGGCAAAATCCATGATGGCTGTCTGTCGGCCATTTCAATTTTTCTAATAAGTTCCAAACTCGAACAGGCATAACTAGGGATGAAGGGGAACTTACATATGCAATTTGAGAAAGATCCATCCAGTACTTCTCAAGAAATGGCGTTAACAAAAACTGTTTACTGACGGACAGACAGACCACAGATGCAGGGCAGTTTGAATAGCCCACAATCTGATGATGGTGGACTAAAAACAGATGTTCTCTTGAGGCGACTCATCAACTAAATTGCTGAAAGGCCATAATAGTGGAGGTAAACTCATTAAATAAATAGATCTCCTTATGGTGAGTGAGTTTGTCACCCATATCTACCTTAAGGCTTATTATTGAAAAGTGTAAAAATGATTGTTACGGTATTGAACATTTTAGATGTTATGGTTAAAAGCTGATGAAATAAGATACAGATGCATGCAACTTAGAGCTTTATTGACGTCTGTGATGATCATGACATAAAAATAATGAACAGGACATTTACATTTATACATATACAATTGTTGTGCAAATGTGGTTTCGTAGAATCATTTGATTTAAACAAGAAGCAACAAAACATGAATGTCTATTTTCTATACATCTTGTAAACCCCATCAATCCCCTGTCTTTAAAGATTGTTTTACTAAAGACTTTTTCCACAAGTAAAAAACCCTTTTGCTATAACTCATAAAAATTCTTTTATCAGGAATGTCCATTTCAATCCAAACTCCCATGTATAATTCACCTTTGACTACATGTAGCCACACATATTGAAAAAGATCTACTGTCCATCAACATCAACATACATATTTGAAATTTTGTAGGGTTCCTTCATTCACCTTTACTTTTAATATCCTCTTTTTGACATTTTTGATATTTTACGCTTGTGTTAGACTTATCTCCCTTGAAATGCAGAGATAATGATACCCACACAGGCTTTCATCAATCCAATCAATATTACTGGCTAGTAACATACAACTGTCTGCAGGTTAAAGACAAGATTTCCAGTACTATCTTCAGTGACAAGTTTAACAAAGAATTTAGAAACAGAATGATGGACTTCAGAATAAAGGAGAATAAGTATACAAAAACTGGATTCATTTCAAAATGGGTAAAATATTTCAATAATTAAAAGTTTTCAGGAGAGTTGCTTGAAAATGACATAAATTATGAAACATGGAAGATATACAGGTTTATTCAATGCACTGAGATACACTGAACATTCAAAATCTAACATTTTAAAACAAAACTGCCAATCTGACAGGATGAAAAGCTCAATGTCTGTAAGTTGTTGAAAGAGAGAGCTGATATCAACTGGAATTATTACATATAGTGAATAAAAACCAAGGAAACAGTACTTAGCAGGGAACGTAACATGTCTTATCAAACAAATGTTTACAAAAATATTGCACTGTCAGATCTACATCAGTTTCTACATATCTGAGAGACCAATCACAGGGCAATGACATTGCCTCCAGAGTGTTCTAGTTTTTACAACCATTTAGCATTTCAGATATGAAGTAAATCATTTTCAATTTTATTTTCATTGTTCTGTTATGACAAAATTAAATACAACACAATTGCATTAAATGGTATGAACTAACTTCCATCAAAAGATAGCACTTTTTTTTTATACCTTGCCGTGGCCAATTACAAACTGAAAGAATTTGATTACATGTTTGGTGTCAGTGTCATAACACCTGGTAAACAACCACACTACTGGTACAGTATGACTTGATACTGTAAATCACTTAGATTCAACAAAGTCTTCACAAACTTACCTTTTTAGACACATTTGTGAATAAATGATTTCACAAACACTGGTCTAGAAATAACTTTGAATTTGGGAATGAGGAGTTATTAAAGACATGGAGTTTTAAAGACTGTGATATCTGTTACTGAATCAATATGTATGCAATCCTGAGGTATTTAATCAAAATAAAGGCAAGAGATTTGATTCTGTAATTTACTGTCCTTACATATTAATGTGATGTGTAATAATAGTGATTTACAGTATATACAGTGTGGAACGGCCAAGCTTCGGTTAAATTCTACTTCAATAATAAAATAATTCTGATATAATAAAATAATTCAATAACAAGGAGGAAGTTTTCTGATCATATACAATGTATTTGGAGAAACTCAGTGTAACACATATATCATATCTTACCAGCGGAAATTAAACACAATTATAAATAGCTTTTTTTAATAACGAATTGATACAAAGCAAAATCTAATCTACTAGAAACTTGTTCAATGCTGCAGTATGTTCCCCATCCAATACAGATTATTGTTTTACTTAACAGGTCCTTTTTATTGAAGTCATTGAACACATTGTGACAGAGGCTAGCATACTTCTTTTCATTGATATTGATAATACACATCATTTTCACTTATATGATATATATATATAAGTATTATAATAGCAGAATAATGCTGACAATGAGAACATTTTAAAAACTGATAAAATCATCAAATTGGAGACATCTCGGAAGGAAAGAGAAATCCTACAAAATGTAAGTCATATTTAAAAATCTCATTGAAGGAAGTCTGTTAATATATAGGCCCTATCATCTGAACAAACAAGAATAGTAAGAGGGGCCATTCAACAGGCTGCTTGCTGTACATGTACGCTGAGCAGAGTAAGAAAATTTCTCAATAATTAATTGAAGAAATAAATGTTCACTTGTATAAGGGAATGAGGTCTTCAGTATCTCATGACCTGATTCTTCACTATGTTTGGCATTTTTATGGATCCAATTTTTCATTTATTGTCATATCAGAACAAATTAAAATATTCATTAATATCTAAAAACATTTTTCCACTTTTACTTGCACCAAACATTTCATGTTTGCTTCATGTTTATTATAGTCATGAAGATCTCAGATATAACAACAGTATGTAAGCTTTAGTACTAAAATCCTCAAAGTCAAATACAGTCCTACGTGCCGATCTTTTCAATTTCATCAATGTCTTCAGCATCCAGTTTAACAATTCTTCGTCCTGTGAAGGAGAATAGCATACAAATAATACTTATTATGTTTTAACATAAATCAATTAGGTGGTTATACCAAAGAGAATTTCCAGTCCATACCAAAACAATTAAAATTACAAATACTTCATTATAATTAGCAAATTTTAAATTAAATACATCTCATCTATCTTTAAACAAAGGTCATACGCTGGTAATTCAGTAAAATTACTTAGTTTTGTAATTACTACTATTTTGCAATAAGCCAAGCATACATAGTGATTGCTTGTAATACTATGACAAAGACACGGAGTGTGGTGTTTTTACCAGGCCTCACTGGGTTGTTGGATAATATGGTAAACTACATAATGACACAATATGTACAATGTAACAAAGTTGATAACTTTTCACATCAGATAATTAAAGAACTTCCATTTTCTGATACACACGTTCATTACACTACATCTTAGACTAACCTAGACATTTCAGTTTAATTGCAAACCTCAGGGGTAGGATGTATACTACATTTATCTTACATTACAGACATGCTTGAGGCCATGCCCTCCCACATCTATTATGGTAGAAATGCAACACAATTGTCATTTAGTGGGCCCTCCTCCAAATTTTTAGTTTATATGTCAGCTTCATAGCAGGATGGTACAGGATTTTTTCTGGTTTTAAACTTACCAAAAAATTTCTCTATGGCTTTGAGGGTGTCATAAGATCTGGAGTTGTCAATGAGATTGAGAGCAATTCCATTTTTCCCGAAGCGACCTGTTCGTCCAATACGATGTAGATACGTTTCATTGTCAGGTTTCATGTCTTGGGTAAGGGGGAGGTCAAAGTTCACTACAACTGTCACTTGCTCTACATCTATACCTGAAAATTAAAACACATTAGGAAATTATAAATCATTAATGGTTGGTTTTAGAGGTTTTTGTCCGTTCTTGACAATTAATATGTCAGACAAATATTCAGTGATCATGTAATTAAGATTTGATTTCAGAAAAAAATTCTTCTGAATTTAAAGTGTCACAATATGATATTCCCTTTACCAAGTAGAGAGCAAAATATCAGTTAGCCCGCTTGATTAGGTAGCAGAGGAATTGCCAACATTTTTTTGGACATAATTTCTACAAAAATTCATTTGATATTTATTTAAAATTCGTCAAGATTTTTGCTTCAACCACTTGGAGTTAATTGGTATTGACTTTAAAGGAGGGTTGTCAAAGGAAAAAAGCAATTGTATGAAGAAAACTGCTCTAGAGAAAGGAGAGATTGAGAAGCGGCCAATCTTACCTCTTGCAGTAACATTTGTGGTAATGAGGACTTTTTCCTTGCCCTCCCTGAATCTGTTGATGATGGCTGCACGTTGTGCAATGTCAAGATCTCCACTCAAAAGTCCAACAGCATGACCATCCTTTGTCATTTTTCCTGACAACCAATGAGCTGTTTGTCGTGTCTAAACATTGGGCAAATAAGATTGAAGTAAGTAGGATGCATAAAAAAAGCTTAAAAAATGTTTCTATAAATAGCATGAAAGCAGGGTTCACATTCAACCAAATGTAGATTTCTTGAAAATCATTGTCTTTAAAAAATGTAGGTCAAAAAATAAAGATAGCAAGGATCCATAGAGATATACTTGTGGCTCCATCATCCCATGATTCCTTTACTTTAAATTTAAACTGTGAAGGGGTTTATGATATATCTTAACACAAGCTTTTTACCTTAAATCTGGTGAAGTGTAACTGATGACCAACACAATCTAAACAGGTGTAACATACACATACACAACTACAGTAACAAGAGGCCAAAGTTCTATTACAGTCACCCAAATCCATTGTTCTAGTAACAAATATCATAGATACCACATAGTTAACAAAGGGAGACTCCAAAACTCCAAAATGTTGATTTCCTTTTTAATCTATCATAAACTGTAAAATCTCTCTTGAAAGCAAATGCAAGACCCTGGGATCATGAAATTTGCCATTTCATCGATGAAGAGTTTTGTACAATATTTGGGTATTGAGGAGAAGATTTTTGAAATTTCACTTAATTTGACCCTTTTTGGAGGGAGAAGTGGGGGAACCATATATAATTCACAATTCTAGTTGACTTATAGCAATGGAAGGTTTCTGCAAAGTTTCATTAAAATTTATTCCAGGGGTTTTCTCAGAAGATCAAAATGTCAAATATTAATCATTGGATGACACACAGACAATGGTAGTATGCCACATGAGACGTTATCTTAAGTGACCGAAAATAAGGAAACATTCACTAAAGTTTTCCATGATCACTTTTTGCTTATTTTAAAATTTGCCCTACAATACATGTACATGCAAACATGTTTCAATTGTCACATCAAACTTTGTTACTATTTTTTCACTCTATTGACAGAAGTGTAAAATGGGCGACAGTTAATCAATGACTAGACATTATGTATACAGTACTCCTGTTAAATATATGTGGTACCAACAACATTTTTTTAACAAACAAGGATGTCTTAGGTACAAAACACCAAAGAAAATACCAACAAACATCTCATGATATACAGAAGTAGAATCAGAAACATTTGCTGATAAACAGCTTCATGTTTTATCAGAAAAACAACTTACGGCACAAAAGATCATTGACTGTCCTATAGAAATGGATCCGTATATATTTGATAATGCCTGGAATTTGCTTTCTTTATTCGTACACTCAATGTAATATTGCTTAATATTGTCCAAACTCTGTTCTTCACGTCTCAGTTTAATGATAACAGGGTTATTTGGAATCACAGCTTGAGCGAATCTCATCACATCTTCATCATATGTAGCAGAAAATAACAACATCTGGCAATCTTTTCTTAGGCCTCTGAAAAATCAATTGAAAACTATAGGTATAAATATGAGATGTACAGAAAATTTCTAACAAACCTGAAGCAACAAAAGCTTACTTTATTCACATATTGTTGCTAGTTTAAACTTATTCTAAATAAGTGCATTCAATAAACGGAAAATCATTATTTTTTGCAGTCAGATGAAATATGAACTAAAGAAATTGAAAGAAAAGCTCCATTAGAACTGTTTAAATGAGACATTCTGAATACCATAGGCTTACTTTGTCCATAAATAGTATGTGAATTGAAATGTATTCAGAGCTGGAAAAATCTTAAAATAGGAAATAAAAACTTTTCAGTTGATTTTGAATATTTGAAGACCAAAGATGTGATGACCTTGACCTACCTCTGTATCCTAAGTGACTCATGATATGACCTTGACCTACCTCTGTATCCTAACTGACACGTGATATGACCTTGACCTACCTCTGTATTCTAATGGACTGGTCCTGATGACCTTGAGTAGCAATCATGACATCAGCCTCGTCTAAACAAAATACATCAATCTTCTTCAAGTCAAAGCTTTTAAACTTCAGTGACCAGTCTGCCACTGTCCCTGGTGTACCAATTATGATATGACCTTGAACTTTTTGTCCTCTGGCAACTACAAACAGACACAAAGTCTAATAATTCTAGGATATAAAGGATATGTCAAAGGTACTGTATATTACACCTGCTTATAAACCTAATAAGGGCACACTATCCACTATGGTAATGCAATATAAATCCCAGGCTCTAATGCATCAATGTTAACAGTGTCAATTTAATATACAGAAATTTATCCTGTACGAAGCCAGGGGTTAAAATTTGACCCAAAATTCAAATTCTGTTGAACAATTAGAGATAAATACAGGGGCTACTGTCCTGTTTCCTTTACATTCAATAATACATTATTTCTGAATTTTTAAAACCTCTCCATAATTCATTCTCCCATTTCCTACAAAGGATACTCAATATCCAAGTTTGACATATACATTCAATGTGCTTTTTTGAAAATTTGTTGAAGTACTCTAAGAAAATTTTGTACATATATAAAATTGAAATAATGCCTATATCTTAAGTTACAATTCCCTTCAGTCAGATGTCAGACAACCCCTTGCTTCCACTTCTGGATATAAATAAAATTCAGATAAATGGAAAGTCCCTAAATATCTTCAAAATCTTTATTCTCACCTCTTACAAAGGCATCTAACATTCTTCACTTACCAGTCCTAAAAGTGTAACAAGACTTGTGAGTCTGGTCTATACAGACAGACTTACCTCTTTCTCCCCTTACAGCATAAACAAGTTTGAAGTTTGTCATGTGTTTTGACATCTGTTCTATGTTCTGTCCAATTTGTAATGCCAACTCATATGTTGGTGCTAAACAAAGGCACTGAAATTTACAGGAACAACTATTAATAGGATTGGTTTTCAGATGAAAATCTTAAAAATCTTAATCAGTAAGGACCCAAAATCATATATATATATCTTCTATGAAAGTTAACTCCTTGTTTAAACCTCTTATAAAGTGCATTTTCTATGTCATTTTCAAATGAAGTAATGATACATTGCTAATTCTTGACAGTTCGAAACTCATTCCCGTTATCAGCTACCATTAGCTGATTTGCCTTTTTCAAACAAACTCAGAGCATTTCAATGACTTCAAAGAAAATGTATATAAGCCTGTGGAGCAAATCATCAATAGAACGTTAGACTAATGACTTCGAAAAAATAATTTCACAAGAATGACAAAACAGACTAATAGCTAAATATTAATCACTCTTGTTGATGCAGAGTTAGTATTTCTAGTGGTTTCATCAGTGGGTGAGATCTGCTAAGTGATTTTGTTAACAAGTAAGATTCATTAACAGCAATTTTAAGTGATTTTACCTGTGGGTAAGACTTGTTGGTATCTACACGACTCAGCATGGTCAGTACAAAAGCTGCTGTCTTTCCTGTTCCACTCTGGCTCTGGGCTATCATATTGACAGGACTAAAAATAATAGACATGGTTATGTATCTATTACATCCCAGAAACCAACACAGTCCAACTACAGTAGATATCACACATTTAGCAGAAAGAGACATTGGTCACTGATCACCAGAAGTTGTTGTTTTCAGAAATTGCTGTAGCAAATTGTGAGTACAAGCTTTAAGTTGCCTCCAAACTTCTTTATGAAGTTAATGAAACTCTTTCAACATTTCCCTTTTTTCAAAATAAATCTCTAAAATTATAAAATCCGCCACTTAAAGTCTTTTCTGTATATTTAAAGAACAAACTTGTTATCTATTTGTTGAAGATATACTTACGGATCTGCCAGCAAACTTGGCAGAGCTGTTTCTTGGATCTTTGATGGAGCATTAAACTTCATATCATACAATCCCTGCAGCAGTTCTTTCTTCCTGGATTTCATTAAGGAAAATATGATGTTAACTAGGAATTAATTCCCCTGCGCCCCCTCCCTTGCATACTGACAATGTATTGCAAATCACAAATATTCTCGGATAATTAACAGCTGAATCTGATGGCAAAACTCTTGATGGTATTGCAAAACTAGATTGCATTACTTCTTCTCTGAACAAAATGTTTTTAAAAGTCAGAAAAGAAACCAACATTTTACACAATATTGTATGACAAAAAAGGTCGAACTCCATCTACATTTGGATGTTTTTGACCATGATCTAACTCTATCTGTAACAGGTAGATTGAAGCCACACCAAATTTAAAAGTTATTATCTCCAAACATAACAGAAAAAAGACTGGAAAACTGTCATCTTGCAAAATATTCTAAAGACAATAACTAATACCAAAACTTGGGATATCTTGACAGGGGCTCAATCTGTAACCTCATAAAATTATCTAAAAATACACTGAACTATAAAATAATTGTAATATGGTTATGAAGTAATAATAACATTTCCTGACATAGACCAATACATTTACTTTCTTACAAGTAGATGTAGCTTGTATAAAGGCTCTATACCTGCTACTGCTATATGTAAGTAAAAGGAGCCAGCATACATCTTTCAAAGGAGAAAGCATACATCTCTCAAAGGAGCCAGCCTATATCTCTCAAAGGAGACAGCATACATCTCTCAAAGGAGAAAGCATACATCCCTCAAAGGAGCCAGCATACATCCCTCAAAGGAGACAGTTTACATCTCTCAAAGGAGCCAGCATACATCCCTCAAAGGAGCCAGCATACATCCCTCAAAGGAGCCAGCATACATCTCTCAAAGGAGCCAGCATACATCTCTCAAAGGAGAAAGCATACATCTCTCAAAGGAGAAATCATACATCTCTCAAAGGAGCCAGCATATATCTCTCAAAGGAGCCAGCATATATCTCTCAAAGGAGCCAGCATACATCTCTCAAAGGAGTCAGCATACATCTCTCAAAGGAGACAGTTTACATATCTCAAAGGAGCCAGCATACATCCCTCAAAGGAGCCAGCATACATCTCTCAAAGGAGCCAGCATACATCCCTCAAAGGAGCCAGCATACATCCCTCAAAGGAGCCAGCATACATCTCTCAAAGGAGCCAGCATACATCTCTCAAAGGAGTCATCATACATCTCTCAAAGGAGCCAGCATACATCCCTCAAAGGAGCCAGCATACATCTCTCAAAGGAGCCCAGCCCATATCTCTCAAAGGAGCCAGCATGCATCTCTCAAAGGAGCCAGCCTATATCTCTCAAAGGAGCCAGCATGCATCTCTCAAAGGAGCTTATATTTACTAAAGAGTAATGATATAGCAAATCGACTAAAACTGTAATAAAGACAGGTGGGATTATTACCAGGCAAGCTGGTTCAGATAAAGCAAATCTTAGGTACAGTTTAATGGAAACTGAGCAGATTTTAAACTGCAGAGAACTACTGGGATCTTGGCGACCACCATTTTTCTTTCCAATGTCAAAATGTAAGATGGTCTCCTGTCAACAATTTTGTTCTTCTGATCAGTTCTAAAATCAGAAATCCCTACAGGTAGAGTGTAAGAATTGTACTTGCCAATGTTAATGCTATTAGTCCTGATTGATAACTTGTGAGTCTCATATTTTTCAAGGGTTTAACTTTTGGTGGACATGTTGCATTGTCTTTCATCACAATTTCCTTCAGTATCTATACACTTTTGCTAGCATTGTTTAAGGGCTTCAATGCCACTTATAAAGAATTGACCTCATACAGTCCTCAACTGTGTGTATGACGTCATCATTAATGGCAGCCATGGCAATGACAGACTTGTGAACATGGCCATTGTCTTGATGGAACAACACACCTTCAATGAGTTTTCCACGGCGCTTGAGTTTAACATTTTCTCTTAACTGCCTAAGAAATGATGCATAATATGTGGCATTGATTGTTTGCCCCTTTCGCAGATAATCTACTTTTGGACTTTAGTTGAGCATTTGCCTCTTTGAGTAAGGCTCTGGGCTCTGTTCCCTGGCAAAGACATACTAGTGTCTCTGGAGACATTAGTTACCAATCCCTGTCTAACCCACTGTCAGTATGATGTGACCTGGTGTGATGTTCTCCACAACGAACAATCATGGTGGCATCAGTCCCAAATGATCATGATGAGGCTTACATCCAACCTCTCCAAAATATGTACACTCACCTTGTGTACAACAGGAGGCCATTTGTAGATTACCATACATATAACAATTTAACCCAAACTAAAGCAAACCTAAAATCAAAAAGGCACTACTAGGTATCAAAAAGAACCAAAGAGAACTTTGGGAAGTACTTCTTCAGACAATAGTCATCAAAGATGGCTTATGCTCCCCGATTGGGACGAAATTTAAGTATGAAAAATAACAAAGAGCAATAACTCCTAAATTCTTCAAAAGAGAGTGATGGTTTTTGTGCACTTTTCTTTGCTGTGATCTATTTACCTATAAAGGTTTATGCTGATACCTCTTTTAGTTTTTGTGTCATGCTCCGGACAAAATTATGACAGACAGACGGACAAAGTGGTGACTGTATGTTTTCCCTTCGGGGAGCATAAAAATGAGATAACCTATGACTCAAAGACAAAGTGGACTATGCACAATTAGAGAGCAAAGCGAACCTACATGTAAAATCTGAAAATGATTCAACACTTCTAAAGATATATAGAAAACAATGCAGGAATAGTTAAGGACAGAATTTGAGAAGTCCATCATCTGATATTCGTCTAAAAAGCTAAAATCATCAACTTACAAGTTTAACGCTTCAAATGATTTGACACTGAAAAGTGGTGAGTTAGGGTCAGCCTGTAGGATTTCTAGATCTGCATGTACATTTGTGACGAGTTTAGCCTGCACCAGCTTACGTAGTTGTTCTTCTTTTGATTTTTCATCAGCTGAAATAAAAACAATCTGTTTATCAAGCATTTCAACGAGTAATGAAGGGCTGTCAATCAAATGTCATAAAAATCAATCAGTTAAGAACATGATTTACAGGTAACTTACAGCTTACAGTCTGAAAGGATTTCATTGGTAGTATTCCAATCAACAAGTAGAAAATATAAATTCATATCAAGAAATACAAAGCTTCTTAAATCAAAAGGAAAAAAACCAGCACAAACTATTTTGCAGTCGACACATGAAACCGATTAAATGTATTTAATCACTTTAGACAACACTGTAAGCGATTCCCACTACTATAAACAGGCTTGAATGATGTTTTGGTTATTTATCATCAGTTCATCCTTCCATGAATATTTGGTCGCGTTAGGGAGGTTTTGGTTTGCAGAAGTACTAGTGGAGCAATTTGGACTCAGATATAATTGAACTGATTCTGTTCTGTACATTACATTTGCATTCTGTTCGCTTTCAGTATTTACACAACACATGTGCTTTACCTACAGTTGGTCAGCTTGACTGAAACTGCTACCAACCACATGAAAAGTTGTTTGTTGATAAGTATAAAAACCACATTCCATTAATACATTCATTTGTATGTGTTAAAATAACATTATTCAATTACTCATGATTTGCATGCCAAACTATGGCTTTCTAACTCTGTATCAGTACATATTTTCACTTAATCTGAAGCTGTTTCTTGCTTTGGTGAAATGATGGACTCGTTCACTATGGTTTCAATTTGTTGTTAGAAATAACTATACAATATGTTTTATCTCAATCAGGTTAAGTATGGTGTACAAAGCCTTCTCATGCAAGGTGTACACGCTTGGGGCGCAAAGCTTACAACTGCCACCACAGGTGTTGATTTCTAAGTCCACTTGTCGGAACTCGATTTCGAGAAGGATTTGTTTGGGGAAGTTACAACGTATTTTATTCAAGACTTTTCTTTTATTAAATCAACCCATCATTTTTGGATTTTTTGGGGGGTTTTGCTTTTTTTTTTACAATATCTGAGAAGACAACAGGGTAACATATCTTAAGTCTTATTCATGACACATGAAACTTTATCATACAATGAAGTTCTCTATTTTTCAAGTGGAACTACACACCAGAGTGGGTTTCTGTCTTTATCAAACTTTGTCTGAAAAATTCAAAACTTCAACAACTATGTAAAATAAAGGCCCTATGACGGTCAAAATTCTAGATTTTACTTTCAAAAGAGATTTTAAAATAGTGATTGAAAGGCAAAACTGTAATTTTAATTGACGAGCATTTTACGAACTAAACGAAAAATCTAAGTCATTTTAAATTGTAAGCTGACATAAAAACTCCTTACCTTTATGCGTAGGACTGCCTTCTGTATTTGATGAATTGTTGTTATCAAGGACAGTACTATTTGTTGCTGGTTCTCCACTCCCTGTCACTTTAGGGGCTTTATCATTTGTTGTAACACTGTTGACTGTATTAGCAGATTCTGCAGGAGCAGCGACTGCTTTACCATCAGAAGTTTTAATGTCTAAACTTTTTACCTGCATTCATAATACATGTGTGTCCCATAAATATCAAATAAAACAAAACTGAAGTAAATATCATACTGTGTACTTGATCAGTGAAAATTTCAGGACTTTAACAATTTTTTTTCATTTTAGGCAACAAAACACTATTCATTAATAGCTATATGTTAAAATATAAGTTAAATTTTGAAATATAATAAATACTTAAAAGAACATAACATTAATCCAAGCTATATATCTATATAAATCATTTTTCAAATACATATATTCAAATGAAACAACATATTTTCAAATGCTAATTATCAAAGATCATTTGATATCACATTAATCCATGTTTAAATGTGTTCATCATGATATAAAATTAACCAATCCTGTTTCTTGAAATTTTGATAATCATTTAAGAACAAAAATTCCTCAATATCATGACCAACAATAACTTTCAGAGTACCTGGGAGACAAGGCTAACTTCTTGCTGATCAACAGCTGCTCCCCAATCCAGTTCTGCCATGGCTAATGTCAAATTGAATTATCTATTCAAAATAATTAGAATTCCCTTTGAAATTAGCAAAAAAGATTTCAATCAATTAAAAGCATGCAGGTTATTTTTACATTATTTAACAATTTCAAGAAATGTTGCATTGATATAATTTCTAAGTTAAAAATTACATTAGTAATGGAGTTACAATTATAAATCACTTCTCCACTCTACAATATAGTGAGTAGCTAGTTGACCATATCTAAATTGCCTGAGGCTGTTTACACATGGTCAAGGGGCAAATATTTATGGAATTTCACTGAAACTCAAGACATTTTAAGTACAGAAAAAAGACTAATTTTCATAAAATCCAACAGAGCAGATGTTGTGACAGAGATTGTGATATTCTGCATAAGCTTTTTATATTACAGACATGTGATACTTATATGTACACTTGGGTAAACCTGTCCCTTATCAATATCATACGAAGTACTAGAGAAGTCAGTATTAAATTCAAGCAAATCTTTTGCTTTTTTTAATGTATAAATTGAAGAAGAAAAATCTTAACCTACCAACACCATCTTTTTCATGGGAAAAAAGAACAACATGGGGTTTCCCTTGATCGTGATATTTCAGAAAATAATGTCATTCTCCCAGACTTATTTTTTCATATTGAACACGAAGAATATTACGCTCAGGCTGTCTGAACGATGGAAAATCCGTGATCATGTACAAAATTGTTACGAGAAAGATACTTTGCCTACAAACCAGGCCTACTAGTCTCGTCTGCCAATATCTACACCCGGTGAGGAAAATACCTACTGTTCAATGCCAATGGCTAGTTGACAGATATAAAATGTGTAAACACAATGTATTATCCACAATAATGAAATCAGACCTAACAGAACATGTTTATCAGACTGTATCGCTTAGTAAATACAAATTGTATGAAACTTCCGTCTACTTATAATTCAGAATAACGCAATGTCATCAGTCGACTGAAATTTCAAACTCTTACCAAATACAATTTATATTGTTTTCCGTTCCAAAAATAAGCATGGGCGAATATTGAATGAAGCTAAGGATTATTTTCGTATTTCTGGATGTGGTTTGTGTTTTTGTTTGAGATTAAGATTATTCTGCATTTCTTAATTATCAAATATCAGCTATTATAATCGGTGAAGAAGTCGTTCGGTAATATTCGTACACAAGAATGAATGTTTAAAATGCGAAACTAAAAATAATGAGGCGGACATATAATCTCAATCAATAAAGTGTTTTCATTGAAAGGTTTTCTCAAGGAAACTTCAAGGTATATTTTGACCCTGAAGTTCGTTTTCTGGATAGGTAATGACCAAAAATCGCCTTTTGGAAAATGTCAAAATGGATTTTTTTCCTCGCTTTTATACTATTTGGAACTGTATCAATGGTACACGGTGATGATGATCTATACCAAGTTCTTGGAGTGAAGAAGACTGCATCTCTAAAAGAAATTAAGCAAGCTTACAAGGCACAGGCAAGAGAATGGTAAGTTGAAACAGCCATTAGTTATTCGTGATGCTCTTTGATCTCTTCCCCGAGACACCACACCTTCTTCAGTGGAAATAGTCTAGTACAGAAAGTAGTCACTTTATTCAAATATTCCGGACATCCTTACAATAAATATAAAATGAGATATATTTAGCTTACATAAAGAAAGAAAGACATTTATTACAAAATCAAATTGTCAATAACTGCACGCATAAAGCCAATGCTGTGGTTAGCAAACCTGTCTCTCATCTTTGTACAGATAGTACATTCATGTAGATCTGAGATTGATTTTCCACCATGCTTGGCCGCTAATGTTTAATGGTCACCAGCAATTTTTATGTTGCAGGTCTCAATACTTTGACAAAAAAATACCTGGGTAGTACTGTGAGGCGGTTTTTATCTCTCAGCTGGAGTAATTACTTGTATATTTATTAATTCTGTTTAAAATTGTGAACTAATAGTTTGCTTTTACTTTTCTGTCTGCAGGCATCCAGATAAAAACAAGGACCCAAATGCAGCTGATGTTTTCACTAAAATAAATGAAGCATATGAGGTATATAAAAAGTGGCACTTTCATTTCCATCTTCAGATGTTTAACATTGTTCCAATCATGATGCTATCAACTGTAACTTTTAATTAGTGATGTGATAGATAATCATGAAAACTCTGAGCATTCTTAGACTATTTAATGTCTTTATATGATAAGTTTGCTTTAGGGTTCTTTGTGAAAACTTCATAAAATATAATGGCACAGTGTATATACAAGTACAGCTTTATATATAAACCAGTGTTCTGTTTTGGTCTGAACAAAAACATATTGATTGGCATGAAATTAGATATATAAAAGTGAATAAATTTCTGTATCAATTTCTGTTGTAATATCCCCTTCTCTGATGATAAGCCTATCTAAATCTATTTCAGTGCAAATGCCATCATATGCTATACATATTCTTTTACATGATTAATGCCCCTAGACCTAATAAACTACTTTGTGTCAGAAGTTTGTGTTGGCCCCGGCCCCAGTTTTATTGCAGAATAGATAATGATTGTTTTGTGAGACACATATTACATGTATTTTAATTTGAGCAGCTAGATACCATCAGGTGAACAACTTATGAATAAGAGTTTACTCAAAGACATGGTTATTTCAGAATCTTTAAATTTAATACAGTTATATTTAATGTTATCAATAATATTATAAGGCCTGGTTTCATTTCTATAATTTCTACTTCTGAACTGACTCATGTATTATGATGTATTTTCCCAGACCTTATACAGCATTATACACTATAGACAAGTTACCAGGCCCCACTTGTATAAAACAAGTCGAGATTTTCCTCAGCTAATATCTCCTTGAAAATATCTTGTATGAAAATTCCTCAAGGAATTTCAGGACATCCTAGCCGATGCCTTCCTCCTGTTCCTTGAGAAAATTTTATACAAGCCGTTTTTGAGAAGATATCAGCTGAGGAAAATCTCGACTTGAGGAAATCTCAAGTTGAGATGTTTTATACAAGTGGGGCCAGATCTTTATTTCCCTGCATAAGCACAAGAGACCAACTTCTTACTCATGATGAGAGGATATGGTTATTATTAGACAATGAAACATATTATCTATAATGTGGCTAAACCCTTATTGTCAAATAAATGCAGTAAATATGAGTAAGAGAAAGTTTTGAATAGATCAGTTTGTCTCAATAAGATAAGAGAACGGTAATAGACTTGCTGTTCCTTTATTTACTGGAAACAATTGTCAATATGATTGATAATTTTTGTGTAGTCTGGTGCAGTGTATTTTCACATGATTGGTTGATGATTCTTGCTTGATGTTACAATGTATAAATAATGCCCACAAATTTCTGTTTTAAGACCTTAAGTGATGAAGAAAAGAGACGACAGTATGACAGATTTGGGTACACAACTGCACGAGAACCTCAGAGACAGCATGGCTTTCACCAAGGTGGTGGACCTTTTGAAGGATTTGGAAATTTCTTCAGAAGTTCTGGATTCCATTTTGGAGGATTTGGTGGCGGAGAATCTATCATTGATAAATATACTGTCACTCACAGGTAGATTATGATATATACACATGGTATATAGTATGTAACGTTGTAGTGTACTGGTTAATGTCACTCACAAGTAGAGTATGCTATTGCAGTATAGCAAACTCATGGAGTCTGATTCATGCATGTTTCACTCCAAATCTTTGGTTACAAAACAATATTTCAACTATAACTCTATTATCAGAAAATAAGATGTTTCATTAATTTACCATAATAGCAATTATTAGTACTAAATAGTATAATGATGGATGTAGGCTGAAGGCCTCTATGTCCATATCAAATAAATACATGGAAATTTATAGAAATATAATATCAATAGCTCACAAGTTAGAGTTCTAGTATTCACAAATTATTTCCTGTTAGTTTTTATGTAGCTGATGTTCACTTTTTCTACCTGTATTTGTGTAGATGATTCCACATATCAGTCAGCAATTCTAAATCTAAAAAAGCACCCTCATTGTTTTGTGTTACAATGACATTTGTAAAGTTAAATGTCCCAATTACATTGTATTAGCCAAGAGATTGTCAAAAACCATGAGTCAGGCACCTAACATTAAGTACTACACATTAAAGCTTAGACTTATCTTTACCTTAGAACTACTATTACATGTTCTGTTACAGGTTGTACGAAACAAAGATCCTGCCTGAGAGCTTCCGTAAACCTTACTTCCTGTATGCTTATGCAGATTTCTGTTTCGAATGCTCAAGAATTGATCACCACATTGAGAAATTCATCAAAGAACTTGACCTTGTTGGTAAATACAAAATAGGTGTCATTAGCTTTGTTTAAAGTTATCATCTGTTGAATGTGTGTTAAAGAATCAGAGTAGTGGTCTGTACTGCCGTAGTTGTGTCCTTGGGCATGGTATCAGGCCACCTTTATTTTGTTCAGGTAGGTAGTCTCTAGTTATTACATGGATACATCACCTCACCCTAGCTGGTGACATGACTACAGACCCAGCAAGCAAACAAGATTTGTTGATTATATCACAGCCCTGAGGTTCCAATAGGCCTATTGCAGAATATGTATTGTAGTGATTTGATCACATGTGACGTATGATCTTTTTATTTCTCCTATAGGAATTGGTGTTGGAACTTTCCATGCAGGACATGCCGTTGGTTTGGCCTCAGAACTCCGTGTCCATCATGTACCAGCCATTTTAGGAATTGTCAATGGGAGGTCAACTTTCTTCACTGGAAATGTAGGACCTCAACAGTTTCGAGACTTCATCAGGAAAATGTTCCCAGCAAAACTCATAGAAAGGGTAAAACATTGGCAGATTTTCTGTCTTCTAAAATTTCTATTACAAGTATTCAGGAAATTTTATCGAAAAGCTTTTTACGTAGAAACATGTACCTGTATGTGACAGAGTTTCCTTTTTTGGTAAATATTTGGCCAAAAAAGCAACAGATTGAAATTTCTGTGTTGTTGTTACAAATTGTCAAAGCTTGTCTGTCAGTCCCTCGAAAGATCAGTCTCCACTGACTGTCATTTCTGTCTGAACACATGTCACAGAAAGGTTTTGTCACAAAAATGTACAAAATGTGAAAACATTTTACTGGGTATTTTAAGATTTTTTTCTTAAAAATTTGATACATGTGCCAAGATTTAAATACTCAAAAATGATGTTTTGACATCCAAAGTTATTTCATTAGTATCTTTTAATGAACATTTAGTCTTTTTCCGTGCTTTTTTTTCTCAATCAAACATGCTGATCTCTATGAATTCACATTTACCTGCTTTGTTATTCAGAAGTTGACAGATGGCACATACAACGCTTTCCTAGATGGATGGACAGACAACCAAGTACGGGCTATTATCTTAGGACAGAAAGAAGAACCTGCCATCAGATTTCTTGCCACTGCAATGTACTACAAAGATTTTGTCAAATTTGCATATATAAATACGGGATCACCAGACGTTGTGAAAATCATGAAGAAAAATGGAGTTAATAAACACAGAGACACGTTACTCATGTTTAATGAAGAATCTTCATCTCCAGTCGCTACTATTAGTGTAAGTGTTAAAATAATCATATGTAAAATTCACACTCGAGATATTCTATTTAATGAGGAAGATCTGGACCTCAACTCTCAACTTCATCAATATATTTGTAGTGATCAAAATGATCTTAATATTGGTTCCTGTTTGGTAAGTGTTATTGGTCACTGTCTAGTTATTTAAGGTTGAGGTCATGATCTAGCTCCTTAAAATCAAAGTCATTTGCAAAAACATCTAAAACAAATTCATCTTCAGCTCCTCAAAACAGAACTAAAGATCATTATGAAGTTCCTCTTATTCAATGTCAATTTCATTTTCCTTTATTTCAAATAATCAGTTAATCAGTTACTCAGTCAATGTCACTACAAAAGTATGTTGTTCCTGTAAGTCTAAGTCATTTTCTGTTACTTTTAAGTCCAGGTTTTACTGTTACTTTTAAATTCAGGTCTTACTGCAAATGTTTTCTGCCTATTTCATTCCTTCTGTTGCAAAATTACTTTTTTTTCTTTGTATGATAAAGTTGAACCTGTTTATAAAGACCATACAAAACCATAGTTGTCTATATAGAGAGGTGACTGTTAAGTCAAGATCAGCTGATTAATAACATGTGGTTAATTTGTTTATAACAGATGCATCAGTTGTCACGGAGTACACTAAATGAAGTTATTGAAAGTAACAAATTCTTGCTACTGCCGAGACTGTCATCCCAAGAACGATTTGAAGAGCTTTGCCCCATCGAACGTGTAGCACGTCGTAAAAAGTAAATAAATTTGATTCTTTGGTAATTTTGTTTGAGAATTGGAATTTTTTGGTAGTATTATTATTGGAATGTGGGCTGTAGTTTAAACATACTGGTAAGTGTAATAAGTATGGTTTAAGGGGTTTAGAGGTTCAAGAAAACTAAAGATGTAAAATGGCATATTTCACTTTACAGAGCAATCAAATAATGTATACAAATGTATTATGTACCAGGTATGTCGAGAATGGAGCTTTGCAATTTATCACAGATTTATGGCATAAAAAGGTTCAAATATTAGGAAATGTATCCATACGTACCAATATATTGAGGGTTAAATAGGTTAAATTCTTTAATTTTTTTTTTTTTTTTTACTAATGAGTGGTTCATATTTCTGTGTGTTAAGCAAAAGTTTGAAGCAAAAGGGAATATCATGGAATGGTTTGAAGTTTTCTATATATTTCTGATTGTGAAGGTTTTCCAGGATTATAAGGCTTTTGAGATTTTAGATTATCATGATAGTAGGTTTTCTATCCTCTAAACCCTTACCAGGAAAATTGTCTAAACAATGGAGGAAAGATTGAGGTATTATACTTATACAAAATTGTTGTTCTTTTTTGACATCTCTACATTGTATTGTTTATTATTAATCATTCCTTTTATTTTGCAGATTGTGCATTGTTCTTTTTACAAAGAAAGCAAAAAATAATGAAGTCTATCGTGAATCATTCCGTCAGTACATTCGACGGTCCCCATTTCTACAACAGGATCGTGTGAGATTTACCTACATATATGAAGACACCCAGAAGGATTTCGTGAAGAGTTTAACAAAGGGAAGCAAATCTGTTGTTGAAAAAAATGCTGTAAAGGTATTTATTTAAGACTTACTTCCCACATATAATTAACATTGTTTGATAGATTTTCTTGGTCTGAATGGACTAATTTGATTTTCAGCTCATCTGCTTTTGAGTGCAGAAGAGCGTTAATCTTCACATTGGTTCAGATGTCCATGTCTACAATGGTATATCATTCTGTCAGGATGTCGGTACTAGTAAAGGCATTCTATTTTGACCTTACATTGAAAAATAGTAAAAATAATCAGCTTAGAAACTTATGAAATGATGCTAGCTTTAATAAGACAGGTTTATACAGACTTTAAAGGAATAACTCACTAAAGGTGATTACTACACAGCAATGATATCTTTTCACATCAATATACATTTGTCAAAAATGATAGCATTGAATTTACCATTATATTTACACAATGCCTTACAGCTGTATGTACTGTACATGTAGATTCACGATAAACAGTATGTAAGGTAAATCATTATAATGGTTTAAAACAACAAATGATTCCTAAGACATTGATGTTCATTATCTACATTTAATTAACATGGATTAATTTTCACGTATTCATTGTTTACAGTATTCTTCTCCAGACATTTTCTTCCTTCTGTTTTCAACTGGAGATGTTTTAATTTATTATCCAAACATATATAACACTATTTTTTCTCTCTTAGCATCTCGTAAAATATGACCATTTTGATAATTATATTGAGTTTGATTTAATAAACCATGAATATTTCCTCGACATCAGAGGGTGTATATTGTCATGCCCTGCAGTGCCCTGACTGCTTTTTAGATTTGTGAAAATCATGTTTTTGCGTTCTTATAAATATTGTACATCTGATATTATCATACCCTTATTCCAACATATGGTATTTGAACAGTCATAAATGAGGGAGAAAGAAATCTAAGCAAACGTTTTTCTATCCACAGTATCAGAAACACTTGAAAGATGAGATAGATTGAAAATAATGAGACTACTTCTTATCACTGCCTGATTTGTTGTAGGTTGTCCTTATATGGAGGATGGATATATACCACCTGAGCTATGATTGGCTGAAATCGGGATGGAGTGCTGATCCAAATCGACTAGAGGAATGTGAAGAATACCTGGAGGAGAAAGTCAAGCTTCTCCTTAACTCTGATCAGTCTTTGGCGTACAAGACTCTTTTACCGGAGTTCCATAACGAACATGCTTTGGTATGTAAATTGACAGTACTGAGTATTATCCGATTTATTGGTAGTTATATACATGTCTACTGACAAAGGTTGATGGTGAGGTTACTGAGACTTGGTTCACTATCCATACCATGAATTGTTTTATGTCAGGATGAGATATAAAATTACATCTATAATATTAAAAGATTTTTCTTTTTTTTGGGAGGGGGTGGGGGGGGATAGTTGGATAGTTCTGCATGTTAAGCCCAGGGGGATTAATTACTGATGTTGGGCATCTTTTATATGAAACTGTAAATAGATCTGAGTGAGGTTATTACTACACATGGGCTTGTGACAGAAAAAGTATGGTATAGGTGGTGACATTTGGATTAGTTTTAATCAGTACCATGTTTACCGTAAACAAAACCCAGTGTGACATTACATAGACTCTTAGTTTTGACTGAGGTGGGCTTATTACTGGACAACACTATAGGGTTTGTGGGTACTTCTACTAAAGCTATAATTATGTATAAGTGGGTGCTCTTATATTTAGGACATTTTATTTACATGATAAACAACTGATATATAGTTCCATAACCACCAAGTTAATGATCTTTATTGATCTTCTATATGCTGACAATGTGTACAGTAAATATGAGACTTGAGTTTTTAAACACATTTGGTTGCTCAAGGAACCAAGATTTGTGTGTTGAAGCATTATCGGGTTGTGTACCTTTACAATTACAAAATTTCTTCTAGGAATTCATGATGATGATAGATATAAATAAAAGATGTACATATTAACATTAAAGTTGAAAGGTCACCTCAGACAGAGTCTCAGGGTGATAAACGGGATCCCCTTTTGTCCAGCTTCATGTGTCTTTTAACATTTTCCTGGAAACACCTGAACCAATGAAATTTTACGGAAACCTTCCTTGGTTAAAGACACGCTAAAATTGTAAATAAATGGTCCCCAACCCCAAGGGGCCTGAGGGGCGGTGCCAAAAAGGGTCAAATTGATTGAAATTTCAAAAGTTTTCTTCTCAAATCCAGGTATGGTAGATGGATGGAAAGGCTTTCAGAGGCTTTACCAAAATTGTAAATTTCATGACCCCATTGTCTCACAATTCCCCCAGGGGAGGGGGGAAAATTTACTATTGTTTATATAGTTAAATTACATTTTTGAGCATAATTTCTTTTTCTTTCAGAAATAGTTCAAACTTGATAAGAATCATATAATCTGACATTTAGATGAGATGCACATATTGACCTTGGCTGACCCCTTCAGGGGTTGATTGGCGGGGTCAAAAATGGGTCAAATTGAGTGAAGTTCCAAAGATTGTCTAATGTTCTTGGATGGAAGATTTTATATAGGAAAAATTCAACTTTTTAGTTTGATTTCTTTTAGTTCAAACTTGGTTAGAAGCCTTATCAGGGGACAGCAGTTCATGTTATGTACAGTTTATTGTTTTGATTTTGAGTTTCGTCAAGGATGGAATCTTATCTCATTAAACAGGGTCTCATGGTGCGCATTGTGTACAGACTCCTTGACTGGGCTGAGAGAGTATTCTCCTTTTTCACATCGTAAGTATTTTATCCTAACCAAGGCTGGTTGAGATGCACGGCAGTAAGACACCAGTCTGACCATGTGAGCTCCGTTTCCATGGATACAGCAGATTCCCTCCTGTAAGACCTCTGGCTCACTTTCATCCCAGGCCAATGGGAATCATTAATACTAGTGGAGATAAACTTTGCATTGTCACAGTAAAATGAAGTAAAGACATTATAATAAATTTTAACCTGATCGTACAAGTTGTATTCAGGATATCGGTGTCAGGATATGATAGATTATAAGAGGTTATTAACGATGTTGTCAAATGTTTTATTTGCTAAAATGAGGAAACAGCTCTGTTAATTTAACCAAATAAAAAAATTGTGTACAGTTCAATTCACACCAGCAGAGGACTGAACCTGTTATGTTATGCGTTACCACTGCCTTACCTGGGTGGCCAGGCAGCACAGTGGTAATGCACTCGACTTTCACTTAGCTGTCGAGGGTTTGATTTCCAGACCAGACTTGAGGGGTTTTCCTTGAGTTCTCCGGTTTCCCCTGGCAGTAACACCTTTCATGTGCTTACATCCGGGCCAACAAGAGTGATTAGTATAAGCTGAAATAACTTTTTTCGCAATTGTTGTAAAATAAATAAAGTTTAAATTTAATAGTGTACATTTATTATGTGTAACAAGCGTTTATTACACATAGGTTGTCAACATTACAGGTTCCGTTCTCTTTTAAAGGCTTATGGTATAAGTGTTTAAGACTGGTTATTAACAACAACTATCATCAAATCAAATTATTATGTCCATAAAATTTTTGTGGGGAGATGAGAGGGCATATGGTGTTAATGTTCCACATGTTCTTCCATTTTAATTCATTTTGTTCTGTTAAAAATCAATGTCTTATTTTGAGAATTCCTTAACAGATCGGATTCCTGTTTATTCAGTAGTGTCATAACATCAAGTTCTGTACATCATATCACATAAAGATGGTCTTGGGTCAAGGGTAAAGAGTCAAGGTCACATTATACAAAGGAAATGGAGCATTCATATCAGATGAACATTTCTTAATTTTATACTGAAATACAAATCTGTACAAACCACAGTATATTGAATTAATGATTAGGGTGTCTTGTTGACTGTAATGTAATTTTCCTTAGTAAGAAAACACTTACACTTTTTGGTGTTAAAATTCTGGATATCGGTTGGTTAGGTGGTGTATAGTTTATATGTTCTTATAAAATATATTTAAAACGCAACAATAATAATAATTTAGATCACAGTCTTATAGTTAATACACCAGTCTTATCAGTTACCAACAATGTGTATTGCTTGTCTTTCTTGTCTGAAAAATATCAAGGACTTTTATGCTCCACTACATGATGTTCTTGGTGATGTTTCTTGATGACATCATATGATAGTGATAAGGACTTTGTATTACTGCAGGAACTAAGAGATGAACCTTGTGTTTACTCAGGTATGACTGTTTTTACTGCAGGAACTTACAGATAAACCTTGTGTTTACTCAGGTATGACTGTTATACTGTAGGTTCTAACAGATAAGCCTTGTGTTTACTCAGGTATGACTGTTTTTACTGCAGGAACTTACAGATAAACCTTGTGTTTACTCAGGTATGACTGTTTTTACTGCAGGAACAAAGAGATAAGCCTTGTGTTTACTCAGGTATGACTGTTTTTACTGCAGGAACTAAGAGATAAACCTTGTGTTTACTCATGTATGACTGTTTTTACTGCAGGAACTAAGAGATAAACCTTGTGTTTACTCAGGTATGACTGTTTTTACTGCAGGAACTTACAGATAAACCTTGTGTTTACTCAGGTATGACTGTTTTTACTGCAGGAACTTACAGATAAACCTTGTGTTTACTCAGATATGACTGTTTTTACTGCAGGAACTTACAGATAAACCTTGTGTTTACTCAGGTATGACTGTTTTTACTGCAGGAACTTACAGATAAACCTTGTGTTTACTCAGGTATGACTGTTTTTACTGCAGGAACAAAGAGATAAGCCTTGTGTTTACTCAGGTATGACTGTTTTTACTGCAGGGACTTACAGATAAACCTTGTGTTTACTTAGGTATGACTGTTTTTACTGCAGGAGCTTACAGATAAACCTTGTGTTTACTCAGGTATGACTGTTTTTACTGCAGGAACTTACAGAGAAACCTTGTGTTTACTCAGGTATGACTGTTTTACTATAGGAACTAAGAGATAAACCTTGTGTTTACTCAGGTATGACTGTTATACTGTAGGTTCTAACAGATAAACCTTGTGTTTACTCAGGTACAACCATTTTACTGTGTGAACTAACAGATAAACCTTGTGTGTTTACCCAGGTACGACGGTTTTACAATAGGAACTGTCCTACTCTCTCTGTTCCTCATGTTTTGTATGGGATATTTCATGAACAAAATGGCGGCTATAGAACATGAGCAGGTGATGGAAAAGAAACCCAAAAATGTGAAATCCAGACCTCCTTCAACGTATGTAATCATTGATTATCAAATCTGATTTAGTCACCATCTGTCTGTACTGAATTTTTAAAGAATTTTTTTTTATCTTTCAATATTTCTCATTCCTAGTAATAGATGATTTACAGTATGTGCAAACCTTTACTGACAAATATTTTGTTGTTTCATTTTAATCTTTTAATAAAATTTATTTTTTTCTATTTTTGACATGAACAGTTTAAGTTGAATTAGAGAATTATTTGCTTTCTATACAGAAACAGTGTTTTGACTTTTAGAAATGTATTAGGTTTATGTCAACATCTTTTTAATGATATCCAAGAATCATGTAAAAGAAAATGCTCAGTTTGAAATTTCTCCTATTTTCAGTTCTGTAGACAACAAGAAAGTCAACTTGTATGAGATCAACTATAAGTCATATAATGACTTGATTGTCAATGTGGAGACCGGGTTGACCTTTGCCCTCTTGGTGGACGAGGAATCAAAAGAGAGGCTGCTCAACCGCTTTGGAGAACTAGTTTTCCCAAATTATACAAGGTAGATAAAAGCTGAATAGTATCTGCTAAGTGACTTCTGATTTTGGAATGTCCTATGTAAACCAGAATGTCAAAAAGTTGTTGGCACTCTTGACTGACTGGCACAGTCATGCTGTTTACTGCCAGCAAGACAACCTTGATCTTAATCTTAGGGCACATGCGTTAATGATACAAGTCAGTGAGGAAGGTGTCTACAGGCTTGGAGAGACAGACAAAATCAATTCCTTAATGTCATATGCCTACTGCAAGTTTGCTGAAGGCAATCAGCATCTGGAACCATCAGAATCAAGTATAGAATGGACATCAGGTCCAGGGGAAGTAACTCTGTTTAGCTTGTAGTGTTAAGATAAGGGGACATTTCTAAACAACACTGTTGGTAGCCAACCTATTCCCACCAGTGTATGATACAGGTGTTGGTAGTGCCTGGTGAGGAAAGGTCAGGGGCCAGTAAACTTGATGTAAAAGATGTACAAATGTAGTGATAAAATGGAAAAAAGCTTACAGATAACATAGATTCCTTGTTTATCTCTAAATATGTAGAGAATTTATAAAAAAACAAACTGATATAACAATATAACTTTATTGGGAGAAATATGGGGTGTATGTAAGTTATATATAGTGGATAAATTGTAATGTCAAAGATTAGCCCCAGCTATCTGAAATCAAACATTATTCTAAATTTGTACTGATACTCCAGGGCCCCAGACTTGACAATATCTGATGTGGAGTTGAGGACCAGTATTATATGTATTGTATATGGAAATGGTAGAAAGATATTGTTTAATAGGTTGGTGCTGTTGTTTACTTACTTATCTATAATCTTACAACCATTGTAGGTACAGTGCCTTGACATTTGGTTTCATCGACTTGGATCTCTACCTTGGATGGTACAGACACTTACTAGAAGAATGTGTTGATTTCAAACAGGATCTCTCAAACATTAAAGTCAAGAGCTGTGTGGGAACTGTCCTGGCCATTAATGGTTTCAGAAACTATTACTATATCTACCACCCAAAACGAGTGCGGAAATGGGTCCGTCAACACACTGAAAACATACCAAGCTCAATAGGATTTTTTGATACCGATGAAGAATCAGATTCGGAGGAGAAACGCTTCAAAGGAGACCAGCCCATGGTAGAGGACCTTTTGAAAGGCTACATAACTTGGATGGACCGAGTATTTGATGGATCTGTGAAGAAAATTCGAGTACCATACTGGCCTGAAATGGTGATTAAGTAAAATTTGTCTATATGATTTTGTTTAATCCAAAAAATTACACAACAAAATTATAAACTAAACTTCAAGTAAGAATTTAAAGAACCTGAAGTTTTACCACTTCATATGTGCAATTACATAATGTCAGATTTGTCTGCCATGATAATTAAGATCACCAATTAATAAGAACTAATTTCTCTAAGATTACCTATTAATAAGAACTAATTTCTCTAAGATTACCTATTAATAAGAACTAATTTCTCTAAGATTACCTATTAATAAGAACTAATTTCTCTAAGATTACCTATTAATAAGAACTAATTTCTCTAAGATCACCAATTAATAAGAACTAATTTCTCTAAGATTACCTATTAATAAGAACTAATTTCTCTAAGATTACCTATTAATAAGAACTAATTTCTCTAAGATTACCTATTAATAAGAACTAATTTCTCTAAGATTACCTATTAATAAGAACTAATTTCTCTAAGATTACCTATTAATAAGAACTAATTTCTCTAAGATTACCTATTAATAAGAACTAATTTCTCTAAGATTACCTATTAATAAGAACTTATTTCTCTAAGATCACCAATTAATAAGAACTAATTTCTCTAAGATTACCTATTAATAAGAACTAATTTCTCTAAGATTACCTATTAATAAGAACTAATTTCTCTAAGATTACCTATTAATAAGAACTAATTTCTCTAAGATTACCTATTAATAAGAACTAATTTCTCTAAGATTACCTATTAATAAGAACTAATTTCTCTAAGATTACCTATTAATAAGAACTAATTTCTCTAAGATTACCTATTAATAAGAACTAATTTCTCTAAGATTACCTATTAATAAGAACTAATTTCTCTAAGATCACCAATTAATAAGAACTAATTTCTCTAAGATCACCAATTAATAAGAACTAATTTCTCTAAGATTACCTATTAATAAGAACTAATTTCTCTAAGATTACCTATTAATAAGAACTAATTTCTCTAAGATTACCTATTAATAAGAACTAATTTCTCTAAGATTACCAATTAATAAGAACTAATTTCTCTAAGATTACCAATTAATAAGAACTAATTTCTCTAAGATTACCAATTAATAAGAACTAATTTCTCTAAGATTACCAATTAATAAGAACTAATTTCTCTAAGATTACCTATTAATAAGAACTAATTTCTCTAAGATTACCTATTAATAAGAACTAATTTCTCTAAGATTACCTATTAATAAGAACTAATTTCTCTAAGATTACCAATTAATAAGAACTAATTTCTCTAAGATTACCTATTAATAAGAACTAATTTCTCTAAGATTACCAATTAATAAGAACTAATTTCTCTAAGATTACCTATTAATAAGAACTAATTTCTCTAAGATTACCTATTAATAAGAACTAATTTCTCTAAGATTACCTATTAATAAGAACTAATTTCTCTAAGATCACCTATTAATAAGAACTAATTTCTCTAAGATTACCTATTAATAAGAACTAATTTCTCTAAGATTAACAATTAACCCTTTCGGCGCTGTAGGCGACTAAAGTCGACATGCAGACAGGCCGCCGTAGGCGACTTTGGTCGACCAAGTTAATATCTTTATTATTAGCCAAGATGTGCTTGTTTCAGTAATGCTGCCATTGTTTTGGATATTTTCTGGAAAATATTTGGCGCTGAGCTGTACATTGTAAGAGATAATTGGTGCCGAAAGGGATAATAAGAACTAATTTTTCTAAGATAACCAATTAATAAGAACTAATTTCTCTAAGATTACCTATTAATAAGAACTAATTTCTCTAAGATTACCTATTAATAAGAACTAATTTCTCTAAGATCACCAATTAATAAGAATTGATTTAATGTAGATATACCTCAGTTAGATATCCGTAAGTTCTTATCACATTTTTGAATATCTTATTAATTAATTTTTATAGCATTAAGTAGAAGTGGTCAAGAAATGAAAAATAGTGGATATGGGGCAATCATTTTACAGAATACCTCATACTACAGAAATAACATGGCTGATATTCCATTGTCTGATCTCGCTTACCAGTAGAATATAGGGAGATATTATAATTATAACACTCACATATTTTATGTGATGTATTTTTTGTGAGAATAGATCATAGGACTGGAGTATGATCAGGATATATTGTTCATTGTTGCAAATGATACAAATCAAAATTAATTGAAATCCTTGATCAATTGATTGAGAATTTACAATGTGTCAAATGCAAAAAAGAAATTTATATGATGTAGCCATTGCTAGATTTATAGCATGTATTGATTGATGTGAACATAAGATTCCTTGTCTTGTCAATACAGAAAATAAATACAGAAAAGGCAACATCAAACTTACATAGAGAGGACAAAGATCATATAATAGTGACAAGATTTATTTGATGTTTCTTGTTATTTTGTCAAACACTTTGATACAATGGTCTCATCATATAAAAGGTATTAATCAATTGCAAACAAATAATGGAATCTCACATTAAGATGTTTTCAGCATTTGCATTGTAAGTGTAGTATTAATATAAGCTTTTTTTTTCAAATTTCCTCAGGATATTAATATACTTTTTCAAGTTTTCGTTTATGTTGAAATTTATGATTTCAGTTGAAATTAAAAGCTGCCATTTTATTGTGTTTTTAATCACAGAGTTAAGAATGATTAACTCTTTTCATTTGGATAAAAATTTGCGAATGCTGTAAAAGTTAATCCGTTTGATATATACCATATACTGTAAAATCATATATTTTTGTGGAGCTCTAATTTCAGGGTTTTCCAATATAAACATTTTTGTTGGCAGTTGATTTTGTTGTTAAGTCTTCGTCGTGAAATCCACTAGTCCAGTAATCCAGGTCAACTTCTGTCCATTTATATTTTGGACGTATAAAATTGTGAATTTAGTGTAGCCACAAATTCAATGGAAATTAATTCCCATGAAAATGAATCATTTTACTGTTTATGTATGTGGTATTTCCATACACATCTTGGTATTTATGTGATATTCTGAATTTAAAAAATTCAATATCCCTGTAAATTTTTGTTCTATGTTTGTAACTGAAATCAATTCAGCTTGTATGTATCTTTGGTTGACAGATTTACTTTATAAAACAAGTTCATATGTAAATTGTAGTTTCTAAATCTGATGTGGTAAGGGTTTTTACAATTACAGGTCATCTGACCGAAGGGTCTGATGACCTATTGCGATCGCCGTTTGTCCGGCGTCGTCCGTCATAAACGTTTTCAACTTCTTCTCAAGTTCTACATGTCTCATTGAGCTGAAACTTACCTCCGCTAGGAATCGAACCCGGGACCCCTGGCTTACTAGTCTGATGCTCAACCAATCATATTAAAGAGAAGTTCTCAAATAGCCGAGTGGTAAATTGCGGCTAGTATTTTACCAGGGTTACATAAGTACAAAGGGTTAATGCAATATTCAAAATAGAGACATTCTACAACATTTGCCAAAAGTCTATTGTTTTGTAAGGATCTTAAATTTGTTTCATTTTATATGTGAAAGACGAAACAGTAGTCAAACAGTTTCTAAAATTCTTAGACACATTTCATAATGTCATGTTAAATGTTAAACTTTTGTAAGATTGTATACTGCATACACTGTATCCAGACACGTGTCTCGTCCATCAGGTAAGGGGAGGTAAGAGAGATACCACAACCATTAACAGAATCCTAGACGTCATTCAATTGTCATGTGATGATTAAGAACAACATTTTGTGATTTTTGTTATGAATAGAATTGTGATAAATGAATATACATGAATATGAGTCATTTATTTCATTTAGCCAAAAGTTTATTCAAGCTATAACTATACCAAGTATGTTGTTTTCAATTTTACATTTGTTTTTGTTTGTAAAAAATTGTCTTCAGACAGTGGCCTTTATAGGCAGGTGACCTCTATACAAAGATTTGATGACTTTGAATCATATTACATTGGAATCCCAAAGAGTTATTCGTGATAAATAGGTTAGCTGGAAGTTTTATAATGATGATGACTAATGAAAACTGAGTACTTCAGTAGATTTTGACAAAATAGAAAGGAATTCATACCAATGATGGTCTATTCAGATGATGTATCAAAAGTTGTTGTTTATGATCTGTTGAAGCAGTTTGTTTTTTATTATACGTGCAATCCTAACAATGAAAGATACAGATTTGTACATATGTCACACAAGTCGTGGATTTTAATCAATTCTAGTCAAAATTATTCAAGACTTTTTGTACATTTTTTAAAGTTATTATGAAAACAATTCACATTTCCATAGTGGCATCTGAGGGAAGACGGCTAAACGTTGTTTCAGTTGAATTTTTTACTGCAAAATTCAACAAGTTGCCTCAGTCTCGACCGTTTCCCGATTACAAAAGTTACAATAATGCAAGAATAACTTCATCAATATGGTCATGTGACTATAGATTACCTGGTCAAATGACTATAGATTACCTGGTCAGATGACCATAGATTACCTGGTCATATGACCATAGATTACCTGGTCATATAACTATAGATTACCTGTATAGATTACCTGGTCATATGACTATAGATTACCTGGTCAAATGACTATAGATTACCTGGTCAAATGACTATAGATTACCTGGTCAGATGACCATAGATTACCTGGTCATATGACTATAGATTACCTGTATAGATTACCTGGTCATATGACTATAGATTACGTGGTCATATGACTATAGATTACCTGATGAAATGACTATAGATTACCTGGTCAAATGACTATAGATTACCTGGTCAAATAACTATAGATTACCTGGTCAAATGACTGTAGATTACTTGGTCAAATGACTATAGATTACCTGGTCAGATGACTATAGATTACCTGGTCATATGACCATAGATTACCTGGTCTAATGACTATAGATTACCTGGTCAAATAACTATAGATTACCTGGTCAAATGACTGTAGATTACTTGGTCATATGACTATAGATTACCTGGTCAAATGACTATAGATTACCTGATCAAATCAACAAATCTCCTATCAGTCCAAGTTCAACTTTTCATTTCTGTGTTTAGATAAAAGATAAAAATGTAGTTTGATGTATTTATGCCTAAAAGTGGCCTATCAGACGTGATAGAATAGTTATAGAATAAGTAATAGGGAACACCTTGTTATTTTTAACAGAAAAATAGAAAACAGATTATGTAAAATGTCACATACATAAACTGTGACTGTTATAAGGTAACAGGTGAATGTATTT